CCATATTGTGTCCGTTATGTTTAAAAGTTCCGCTAATAAATCTTACGGATTCAGTCATTAATGCCAGGTAGTTTGTAAGTACATGAATACTTCCAAGAAAATGTTCGCGTAAACTAATATGTTTGCTAAGGGGTTGGAAAAGTTTAACCGTAGGATAATCATGTTTTCGGAACTTCATTCAATGTGTTTTTAGACAACTCCCAGCTCCAATTCAAAAGGGTTCAGATGACTATGGAACTGCTCTAAACCTGAACGTGGGTTCAAGAGTCCTCGTTGCTAAATCAACCATCCCACCATACGGACATCGAAAAAACTGGGTACCACGCAATCAGGAGGATTTTTTAGATGGAGGGGCGTTCCCAGAAATACATGTCCCTCAATATCCTCTTGGGATGGGGCAGGAGAAAAATGTATCGAATGCCTTGGTTATAAAGACTGATAAAGATGGAAGAATCAGATATGATGAACTTGTTCGTCAAGGACACAGCAAAGACAGGATCATCTATTCGAAGTTTTCGGACTTACTACCTAAACCGATTGATGATGACGACCCAGAATTCAACAAACCAAGTCAAGAGACTATCGAAGAGGTAGGTTTTTTATTTTTGTTGATTTTGTTAGACAACAGAAAAAACACGTAGAGCTCTAGAATCATTAGTGGAAATGAAGGTTGCTGCTGCGGCACCTGTACGCCGAGCTGAGAAAACAAATCCTGCTGAATATATACGTTATACACCATCACAACAAGGTGCTGCCTTCAATAGTGGAGCTAAACAACGCCTCGTCAGAATGGTGGAAATGCAGAAAGATCCCATGGAACCTCCTAAGTTTAAGTAAGTTCGCTGATTCAAAGTTTTATTTTTTCAGAATTAACCAAAAGATCCCTCGCGGACCCCCTTCTCCTCCACCACCTCTGATGCATTCTCCGGCACGGAAAGTTACAGTAAAAGAACAACAAGACTGGAAAATCCCCCCATGTATTTCAAATTGGAAGAATCCCAGGGGATATACCATTCCGCTAGACAAGCGGGTTGCTGCAGATGGCCGTGGTCTTCAAACTGTTCATATTAATGAGAACTTTGCAAAACTAGCAGAAGCACTTTATACGGCCGACAGAAAGGCTCGTGAGGCTGTAGAAATGAGAGCGCAAATTGAAAGAAAAGTTGCTCAGAAAGAAAAGGAACGAAAAGAGGAGCAACTTCAAAGAATCGCTCAGCAGGCTCGCGAGTCTCGAGCGGGTCTTCGTCGTCCCGGCGCAACTGAAGGTGGAGACAATGATCCGGGACTACTTGACCGAGAAGAATTACGGCGTGATCGTGCACGTGACCGTGCTAGAGAAAGAAATTTAGCTCGTTCTAACAATGAAGCCAAGGCTAAGATTGAAAAGGACAAAGAGCGGGACATTAGCGAACAAATTGCACTTGGACTTCCGAATCCGCGGTTTAACGCAACAAGCGAAAGTTTATTCGATCAAAGACTTTTCAATCAATCTAAAGGTTTAGACTCGGGTTTTGAAGGAGGTAAGTAATCATATCAACTGTCTACTTCTTTTTAGGTGCGGATGATTTGTACAACATTTATGATAAGCCATGGAGAGGTGATTCTGAATTAGTAACCCATATATACCGCCCACGCCAAAAAGACACTGATGCATATGGGACAGACCTTGATGCACTTAAGAAGACTAAACGCTTTGTTCCTGATCGTGAATTTTCTGGAACTGATCATTCACGTCGTTTGGATGGTCCTGTTCAATTTGAGCGAGACGAGGAAGATCCCTTCAATCTTAGTAAATTCTTATCCAAAGTCAAAAAGGCCGAAAAACGCCCAGGTGAAGGTACCTCAGGAACAGATATCAGTAATCGTGACACTACTCATCGTAAAAGAGATCGGAAGGATTAAACCGCTCTTTTATACATTGTACATATTGTTTATGATGAGAAAATACGCAAAGTATTTTCTTGACTTCGTTGGTGAACTGTAGTTGCAAATTATGTGAATTTGTTACGCTTTCACTGAGGTTAAGATACCTCCCTGTGTATGTAAAGCCAAATTAAATTAAATTGGATATGTTACAGTACATATTACTAATCAATATTTCATTGTTAAGTGTGTGTCGTTCTCTGTCATCATGGAAATGTGTTTATTGACTGACGTTTTATTACTGCAGTCGTTTGCAACAATGTTTCATATTTTTAAAGTCATTTTTTGGGCGCCGAATGTTTTTTTTCGCAAACGATGTCCACTTAGGAGAACGTGGCTGCTGTTTGGTCCATTAAAGCCAATTTCTATTGACGAAAGCGTGTTCCCTAGTGGAATCCCTCTCACTGTCTTCAACTTAAGTTAGTATTTATTATTTTGCTTGGTGTTTGAGATTAGTTGTTACTCCAATCCACTTGTTATGCCTAGTGGGGTGTTCGTTGTTCGGTATCATTAAGGCGATTTGTATCAACAGTTTATTAAAATATTAGCTTTGACATAGCAGGGGCGACAGTGAATGCACCATACAAGGACCCCCAAGTGCCTGGTACGGCCGAGAGTGGGGTGGGCTCTCCCTCCCTCTATTGTTGTCCCTATCTTTAAAATGGGTTCACGTGGTTTCTGTAATAACTATAAGGGGATAAGTCTACTTCCGATTGCGTCCAAGCTATTGGCTTCCGTCATACTTCGTAGGTTGTTCAAAACCCGAGAAAGATTGACTCGCGAGGAGCAGGCTGGGTTTCGTTCTGGTCGAGGATGTATTGATCATATCTTCACCCTCCGCCAAATGTTAGAACATCGCCATACTTATCAAAGGCCAACAATCGTAGTGTTTCTTGACATCAGGACTGCCTTCGATTCGTTGGACAGGACTGTTCTCTGGGATTGTGTATTGAAGAAGGGTGTGCCTGAGAAGTTTATTAACATCCTAAAAGCCCTATATACAAACACCTCAGGCAGAGTGAGGGCATACAACCACCTCTCTCCATTGTTCCATTCGAGTAGTGGGGTTAGGCAGGGTTGCCCAATCTCACCATTCCTCTTCAACTTTGGGATAAACCGATAGGTATCACGAAGTTGAAGAAAGGCCATAGTATCCCGGGTTTTTTATTTGTTGTCGATTACAGTTACAAATAACTGTGAGTCGGGTAACAGAATGCAACTCAGTAATTTATTATGTTTTTGGCTAATGTAGTTCACATCACAAATTGTATGCATGCATTTAGTTGTCGAACAGCTTATAACAAATGTCTAGTTCAATATTTTCAAATGTGCTTATTGGCCAGATATGCAAATCCCATCTAATTCGGTGTATTTTGACGTAGTTCTTAGATCAGTGATGGATTTATGGTCGGTGCATAACAAACTTACAGTCTTACCACATATCGAACAATATCAGTCCATGTTAAGGTTATACGGGGCAAGTAAAACCAATTGATTCTGCAGTTTACAAATGATCATATCACTATTTTTTCAAGTTATTAAAGATTCCTCAAATTAGATTATATCAGTATTAGATTAGCTTAGTATTCAGCTGACTGACATGAACATGTAGTGTCAGTTATTATGTTAAGCCCATATGCTTCATTCTAATTTTCGGACAGCCCAGTATATTCATTCTACTTGAGTCATATTTTGACCTTGTTTATTATTCGATTATCACTCTTAACTGTTTTTATATGAGCGTGTATGTGTGTATACTTCATATCCCGTGTCTGTAGTTTATTTTGTCTGCTTATAAATATTGAGTAATGCCTGGCTAAAAATGAGTTGGTTTACCAGTCATCTCTCCTGCGCGTCATTTTGCTTTTTTCTATTGCATTCACTTTACGTACAAAATATATGTATTCAAAGGCCAAGGTGCATAAAAAACTAATATTCTGGCAGAGATGGTAGTCATTTTTGTATTCATCTTATTGTTGCTGGTTTTGATAGTTTGTTAGGCTGAAACCGGAGTCACAGGAGATAAAGGTCAAGATGGTGTCCTTGTCGTCAGCTTTTACTGTCAGACTAGATTTATGTAAATTTTAAGAAATAGACCTTTTCGTTTGACCCATAACCAACTAAGTCTATTTTGACAACTGATAAATGCGCGTAAAGCACATACTTCCTAGTATTTACTGTCGTATGTTGGTAAAATATTGCTGTATCCTGCGAGCTTAACTGTTTACTTACCCTGTCTAGCTTTCACAAAGACTGATGCTAAGACTCATTGAATTGGTCGTTTTGTCTAACAGATTCCTGACTGAGGTCTTAAAATAGCTTGTAATAATCCGTAACTGCTGTTCGATGAGAGTGTACTTAAGCTGATGCTGCCTCCTACATATTTGGTATTTTGTACAATACTAGTTACTGAAAACGATTAATTTTGGTTTCCGAACAATGCGATATTCATGAATAATTAGATTTTATTGAATTTAAAGTAGTGGAAATGTGACATTCACTTTTGATAGTGAAGAACGTTGTATTTAGAACCATACATATTTATTGTATCTCAAAAATATCAAAGCTGTACAACTCTCAATACCGGTTCATCCACACTTGATTCCTAATGAATTCATCAGACCAGTGCTGTTTTTATTCAAATGATAAACTCAAGTTGTGATGAAATGGTTACACTATCCTTTATAGATCAACATTTTACTGGGTCATTGTTCCAGACATCCATATTCCCTTACACAAGAGATTTATTTCCCATGGTAGATCGTTATAATTAGTTTTGTCGAGACTGAACAGTTTTAAGTTACTGACTGGTAATAGTTTGAACGAACAATTTTAAATAATATACGGTGATAGTTCGCTAATTAGTAAAATAAAACGAACCCTTCACGAGTTTGTCATCGCTTTCAGTAAATGGGCGGATCAAAGTCATTAATTGATGTCTAGACGATGTTCGGATTTAATAGCTTTGGTTCTAGTTTAGCAGAACCCAACATCATTTCATGTTAGAAAGATATGCTCTTTCATCGGGCAAAACATAAAGCCATTTTCCAAGGGAGAGATAAAGTGAAGAGTGATGTCAGGAGAAAGTCGTACTATTTGTTAAAAAAAGAACTATCACTGCTTGTCTAATTGTTTGGTAAGGTTGATAATTACACTTGTTAAAAACCATCGGGGAATACACAGTTGATATTAGAAACCTGTAAGTTATAGAGTTAGCACTTCAAAACTAAGCTACAAAATTTAGTTGACACACGGAATCCATCGTAAACACTTTTGTCTTCATTGTACCAGTTCCAACGTCATTTACCGATGAGCTATAAAATATACAACCAGATCCGTCTTTGTTTCAAAATCAATATCCAAATATAACTACAGAGAGATTAGTATCCAAAACAGGAAATTTATTCTTTAATTACTAATCCCAATCTTCGAATTATCCATATCCATAAGTGGAAGTATAGATGAGGTGCGCTGTTAGAACAATTTAGTCAGTGCAATTATATCATTGTTTAGCATAATAATAATGGTAATAATAAGCATTCAATCAGAAAAAAATCACGCAATACTATATTGTCGATCCAAATAGATATTATCATGCTATAAAATAACCGGGAAAGTTCAGCAGTCCCGCAAGACGTTACGACGGGTGAAAAATCAATATTTTCAAATAAGCTTGGGGAATAAGAGCACAACAAATATGAATAGACAAGTAAAAAGGTATGGCAAGTCATTTCTTTATTCTATTTTTCTAGAAGAAAGGAAGAGAAAAAGGAACGAGACGAAGTCGAGAGAAAAAGCATTCTTCCATTCTCTAGGCAGAAAGAAAATTGTCATATCACTAAATAATCAATATGAGATCATACAATAACAAAATGATGAAAATCAAGTACAAAGTTGAATATATGATTTCATGTCACTCTTCCTTGTGCCGTTGATACAATAATGGAGGGAGTTATTTTGAATAATGAAAGACTTAGGTATGCATTACTAACTGATTACTGGAGTGGTATTAGTAGTAAGATAACAAATTTTAATGATAATAACGTAGGTATTTAAGCTGTTGAAATAAATCTATTTACATTTAATTTGGAAGGTAGGTTTGTAGACTGCTTTATTTGTTAAATTTTCATTGGGAGTTTTTCATTATCTCTCATTGATCAACTGGTAGTGGCAGACATGTGTATCCATGTAAAGAATTTATTTGAACAGAATAAAATAAAAATAAAAACATGATTAAAAGTTTTATATACTCTATAACTAGATTTGCTAATTATTTACAAATGGGTTAGTGCATACGGATATATTGACCAGACGTTTGCATAAACAAATTACTTTACGACAAGGATAACATTTCTGGAAAAAGAGTTGAAACTGATATGCTTTCTGAAATCCTTCATAACCTGAAAGTTCTGAAGGATTCTGGTTCTAATATCAGATAGGATTAGGAATATAAGTCAATAGAGACCTTGAGAATTCGATTACGTCATGCTAGTTTCAAGTTGCTTTACAAACGACGTATTGGTTTTCAAATGTAAAAATATCTTTGGGGTAATCCTCGGGTTACAAAAATTGTCCATCAACTAATTAGACTAGCAGACAGCCAATATAACCCTGTATTACTGTAATATACAAAATGAACAAACAAATAAATCATGCTTTTAACAAACATCAAATAAGCATATTATCACGAATAATGGTGATGTAAAGGACACCCATACTTTCTGGCAAGAAAATTAATCGATCTCTTTTCAAATAAGTAATAACCAAGGTGATCACACTAAAAAAGATTTACTAGTCTAAGCAATTCACTTGATGTTATTGAACAACTACTTTTATTTGACCCAATTCGTACGTAATAATTAAATTTTCAAAAAAAAATAAGCTAGTCATTCACATTCATGCATGTCATTACTTCAAACAAAAAATCCTACCGTGTAAGTAGATTGATGGATTGAGAAATAAAACAGTTACAGAAAATATGAAGATAATTAAAAGAATGGAGGTGCAGTGAAGTAAATTTGCAGAACAAAAGCAAAGTGAAGTATTTACATAAAGCAATAATACCCCAACTAGGATGATGAAGATGACGTGTATCCCTCCTAGGTCAGGGAATAGTAATCCTAACAATAATTGATAAGCATCTTGATGTTAATAGGATAACCATCCTGAGTGAATGTGCGTAAAAGAGTAAAGTTGGCTTATTTTCAACAAGTACCTATAGGAGGTAGGTGTTACATGCTACACAGAACGATATAATTCGATATAGTTAGGTTCTACACCTACTGATGGAAATAGGTCAAATTCACTTCTCTGCGGAGCTTCACTGACATTAATTTTCCAGCTAATGTTAAAACATTTATCTTCGAACAAATCAACCGTATATCTCTAATTTGTGCGGTATAGCAAATTATTTTCATGTATGTAGGGTTGGTGATTTCATTACTGAAAGTTTATAACAGCCTTCGGAACCATTTTAAAAAAAACGTTATCGCTCTTTCACAACTGAATAATTAACATTATGTGTTTTCAAAATATAATTATGTACTTTGTTTGGAAATAAAGCAATATATGTGAAGTATAAGACAATTATTCCCTTCGATAAGTTTTAATAATGCAACGAGAAGACAAAGGTGATCAGAATTATGCGATATATTTGCGCAGTACACCTCGAACATTCTGACTACACATATAATGCTGATATCATTATGGTTAAACCTGATAAGGGGTCAGGTGTCATTATAATTAGTCCTATTACAAAAATAAAATGTAATTCATTCTCAGTAATCAAAGCAAATTTATGACTGATGTTGACTTTGGTGGATTACGTAAATTAGAGAGGAAAGACAACTCAAACCTAATAAAAGTGCTTAACATGAATGCAGTTAGCAAAGAGAAATATAATTTATTAAAACCTATGGGTTAGGTGTATCCTAGTCTATATAGACTACAAAAAATCCACACGCCCAATACCCCCATACATCCAATTCTATCAATGTGTCGGTCACCTACATATAATCTTGCAAAGTGGTTGACAAAAGTATTAAACCTTATCCGAAGCCAATTTTTTGAGTATTCTTTGAAAGGCTTATTTGGATTAATTAAGTACTTAATGGACATCAATATAAAAACTAAAGCAATGTGCTCTTTTGATGTAAACGCTTTATTTAAAAATGTACCTTTTATTATTTTGTATGACTATATGTTATTAAATACCCTCCCATTGAAATTTTCTGTAAAATCTCTTAAAGATTTATTATTATTATTTGCTGACAATGTGAAATCCACTTGAGGGTGAGTATTTTCGACAGATTGATAGCATAACTATGGGTAGTCCTTTATGACAATTGTTGGCTGATGTGTTTATGGGATATGTGGAAAAACTAGTTGAAGACTCAATTCAAAAGATGTATTTGTATAAGCGGTACGTGTATGACACCATAGTTATAGGTGATAAGCACTCAAAACAAGTCTAAAGCATATTTATCTTACATGAAAGGAAGAGCTGAACACGTACCTAAATGGCTGCAAAAAAACCGATTAATTCCAATGGTCAAATATGATAGGATAGAAAAATATCTTCCTTCATTGCGGAACATTTGATTGAGACTGGTCATAAGGTTGATATCAAGTCAGCCTTTGTAGTTTTGTACAAAAGTTTTCAAGGGCGTATACTAAGGTTTATTGAAACCTTGTCTATACGAAAACTGGAACCCCCTTTATATTTTCAAAAATGATTTGTTCTTACTCTTAATATACCTTGATAATACTAATTTATTATCCAATGTGGTTTTCACACTGCTTTTGTGCACGTTATCATTGCCTTTGTTTCCTCCCACCTTTTAATTTGTCTAGTTGACGTTTTATATATGTCTTAACAATTATGTGTGATCAGATTGTTTTAAATGTATCACACAAATAAACCACATAATTCCGATAACCTTAGTCTTTTCATTGCATTATTGAAATGTGAAATCAAACTTTTTGCCATATTAAACGCAAATTATTGAAAAGTAGATTAGTAGCGGAAATTTTTCTGAAGAAATCTACTATACCATTCAAACTTTTTATTTCAAATTAAATCCTGTCAACGTTTGAGTTTTTCGAAATCACTTGCCTTACCTAACATTGGTTGTTATCATTTGAATATTGAAGAAAAAAATATCTCAGAGGTTATTCAACAATAAAAGGACCAGTTACAAAGCTTATGAGTGTTAATTTAATAAGTACTTCATTTTAAAAAAAATACTACCCAATTTACTGTAAGATGGTATCACAAATTGTATCATTTATAAATGGAAAGAAATGAAACTCAAATGCTTTGCATAGCTTCAAAATCATAAATATCACTGAAAAAAACAAACACTGATGTTCTAAACCATATTTTGACTATACATCTACCTTCTTTGACTATTTCTTTTCATATGACTGATTAGTTACGAAATAAAGTTTAGGAATGCTGAGATTCCAATACGTCTAAAAGTATTTGATCGGTAATTCAGATGATCTCAAGTACATAAAAACCTACTGGATAAAATTATTCTTTCTGTAGACAATCCAATAATAATAAGGTTAAGGTGACGGTGTGATACATATTAGTTCAATACATAGGGAATAATCTGATCACAAAATTATTTGGTAATATATTTATAGTACTAGAAATCATATCAGACAGACAGTAATACAACAGAAGACAATAAGGCAAAATATAAATATGTGATTAGATTGTACTGTACTTCATAAATAAACATAAGTAAAATGACTATTTGAATCAATTATTGATTCACTGTAGTTGATCTGGAATGACTAAAACAGATGCTATGTGATGAAATAAACATTTAATTAGTAAACAATAATAACTGATATGGCTATTCTCTCACTACAACTCAGTACTTTGAAATTATACTCATAATTTGTACTTTTAAGTACATTTTAAATCTTACTATATTTATAGAGAATAGTTATTAAAACAATACAAAACATCAACAATTTACCTCTACTTCAGCTGATAACTGATAATTATCTCTTCTTAATTTAGCTAAACGTTGTCGTTCATTTGTTAACGATGTTTCTAATTCAATAATTTTCACTTGTAATTCAACTTCCATACGTTTTGCTTGAGTTAGTGTAAGGCTACTAAAATCAAGTTCTAAGGTATTTTTAAAAGAAAAACAAAAACAATATGAGCAGAATATAGTAATAAAATCAACAAAAGAATGATTATTTAAATTTCAGGAAAAAGTTAAATCTAACATGAAAAAAATTTCCAATTAGTAATCTGAAAGCAAATAGGTTTAGAGTATATGCTATAATTATAGTAATAGTATGGTATATGCTACCTATGTTAACAGATATAAGTAGTGTGTAACATCAATCATTAATGGAATGCCTGCCAGCGAAAGATGGAGAAAATTGAATTGAAGAGAATAGGAATGTTAACAGAGAGTAATTGTAATAACAAAAGAATTGAAAGAATCATGAAGCATGTAAGGGACAACTAAAGCAAGATGTACAAATAATGTACTTCATGTATAGCTTCCATATTTTACGAAGGCACTCTGTAATTTTAAATTACACAATATATTTGTCACCCCTGCTAAGTCTACGTTCATTACAGCAGGTAGGATACTGAGTATTTATTCAAACCATATAATAAATTAATTTTTATGAATTACATCAGTAATTAGAATTTGCTTCAATAAGTTAAAGGCTAGAATAATTATTCATTCGTTTATTGAGAGTCAATATTAATAACAAATCCAAGTTTCTGGTTACATAGATGATTAATTTATTTAACTTCTCTTTTCTGAAATCCTACGCTTATCTTATATCAATACATCGAATAAGTATCGAAGAATTCTTCAGGTACAATGTGTCAAGCTTTTATGATATGTCAAATACATACACAGGTGATCTATAATGAATGACTAAAATACAGATTAACCCTAGATTAACCCACTTACTTATCTGTTATCCATATCATTCTGATAATCTATTAATACACGCTGTAGTACCATTTCAATGGTAGATAAAGATTCCTAAACAGTTTGCATGTTTCTGTCTCGTTGAACTATTAAAAAGCTAGAACTGTGGACTGTTAATTAAACCACACAACAGACAATATATGTGGTAATATACAACATAGTTCTAATAAACGTTGTCTTTTCATTGTCTTATTTAAATTAATCAAGAAAACTATTTTAAATGTATTCAGTATTATAGAAAATATAAAATAATGTCTAAAGCAATATTCCTCATGTGTACATTAAAATATCTAACTATAGAAAATTTTATATTCGGGACTCTTGAGTATTTGTTGCCCTGATAAGAATTCAGCCTAAAAGGTGGTTTCTCAGTTCAGTATATTAAGTGGTTGGGATGAATTAGTTGTGAATTGTGTGTATTTAAAAATTTTCACTAATCCTATATTACAAAAATGTGTATCTACAACTTTGAAAAACCTTTTGTTTTCTCACCTCATCTAATATTTAATTCAAGGGGATAACAGACTTGTGACTCAATGATTCAAGGAAAGGACATTTAAATTTTAGTTCGTGATTTCACAATGTGTTCTATGTAGATCAGCCGGCTATCCTAACTGACATAAAGTTGTTTAATGAGGTCGTGAACTAGAAATGGTACCTAATTACCAAGTTGCACCGTTATTATTTGTATTCAGCGTTATGAATAGCAGGAATTCATGACTTGTGGAACCGGAGAAGTTGTATAATCACCAAAGTTATTGTGAGATAATCACAAATGGAAGATGCTTGTGAACTTAAACTGGAAAATCAAACCATTTATCACTGATGATCTGAACACCTCACGTAATTCTAGTATCCGTTTTCAGTAATATCCTCATTTAACCTAATTTTCTTGGTAGAATTGTCAGGAACTGTAATGCAATATATAAGTGAGATTTTGTAAAAAAAAAAAAGACTCAAAAAATTATACCTTCTATATGTTTTGCTTCAATTGCCTTTTTTACACATGCAATCAAATTTCCAGTACACTTGCATACTTCTTTACTAGTTAACTGTAATTTATTGAACATTTCAGATTGTGAAGTAGTTTTTACACGAGTAGCATAAACCAATTGAGTTGTACTAGCAGCTATCTCTTGTGAAATTACAATTAAGCGTTCTAATTTTACGTCTTTTCCACAAACTATGGAATCAGCTATTTCACTGTTTAAAAACATTTTTTATGTAAAAAAACGACAGTTAAACATCTTCATAGAAAATAAATAGTATGATGATGATGTTTCATGATAAATATTGAGAGAGTAAGCAGTGAAAAATTACTATTTTAGTATAAACGCCACAGAAAATCCGGAAATCATTGTGAACGAGCATTCTACATCGTTAAGGAAGTTGTTTAATTCAGTGGACGTTGGGTATTATGTGATTAACACCATCATCATTGAAGAGTGACTGATATAGACAAAAGTACTGATTACAAAATTGTAGACAGAGAATCGATAATCTCTTATAATAAAGACGAATTATTTTTCTTTAGAGAATTCGCAACTTTCCATAATAATTTTATTGATTGTGGTAAAGTTACCATAGTATTGAAAAAATAACGTAATAAGAAACCGTAAGTTCTGTATAAAAGCTAATGTGAAAATATAACAGTAACCCATGTCTCTTGAATTTTTCTTAATACGGATTTCAGAAGTCTAGATTAGATCATGTAGAATGGTTTCAAATCAGATCCCCACATTATTTAACCATTCGATCGTGAAACAGACTAAAAGTAGTGTTAATGACAATGTCAGTTTAGTTTTGGTAAACGTAAGTTGAAGACATAAATTTATAACGCAGAACTCGATTATCATTAACGAATAAATAAAACATCGGTTACTACTAATTGATCATTGATTGTATAAGCTTTTTAATTTTATACGAGGTAAGAAACATCCCTAACTATTTAATGGTAACGCTACAAACCGTGGCAACTGGTAATTAGGCTAGTCTCATAAGGATCGCCAGCTCCCTAAAAGTTTTGAATATACCTTGCTGATGAGCGTTTACTGGAACGAAAGTCTGGTTCACGACATACTGATGATTCACAGAAACCAAAAAAATACCTAAATCATCATGTCAAGTTAATAATCAAAGCAGATGTACCAAAAAGTAACCGACAGAATTCAATTAGGATTAAGGACTGGACAATATGACATTGAATATTATGAATCGAACAGTCTGCGTACCCAAATTAAATTCATGGGATACAGAAATCTTTCTTTTTTCGAAATATCAAGCTTTTAGCTTCATGAAGTTCCCTAATATTAACGTTAATTTTGATTACTTATAATTTCCACTTAAACTGAAAATAACATGTTACTGGTTACAGAAGGAAACTATTCACTACGTTTTCAATATAATGTATAATACACAGTTAATTTATGACGGACTTTGAAAAGGTTTATTTTCAAATCCAATATTGAAACGTTATGGTTCCGCAATTTAATTAATCTAATTGAAAATGAACAATAATTTCAGTAGCCACTTTAAGTTGCCAAAAGGCTGTTGTCAGAAAACTAGAGACTACCTAGATCTATCCCAAATGTCTTGATTATAACACATTTCTTACCAGATAAACAGATTGCGGATCTAAAAATGTTAATTAATTAGCAAAATTTGTTTGCACAATCTAATTAGATAATAAAAGTGAACATAGATTAGAGGCATAAATAACGAGGTTTCGCTTAGTTTGATTAAGAAAACTAGAAGTATACAATATAACAAGGCAACTTACACCATGACATTAGCACTAGCCCCGACAAATTTAGCAGCCGATAAAAGACCCTTGGTCCAACGATTATAAGGTTTATAAAACTCAATGGACGTTGGCGAACTCTAGGAAAGAATAATTCATATAATAGGCAGAGAATAAAAACTACGTTAAAAAGAGCAAGTACGAGTTTTTTGTATTATTCGTTAAACGAATCTGCTTCAACTGTAGAATAGATGTATAATAAGATATTAAATTAATTTAAATATACCTAAGCACGACAATTCGATTAACTTAGATAACAGCAATAGCTTAAAAAACATATGATACATTTACAAAGTCATTTTGACGGTTGATGGCTCTTAAATTGACTTATGTTTAGCTGTAATTCAACGGCGTCGTTTATCCTTAAAAGCCTGGTCTTCCTTTATTGTCGAATGTTATCAAACAGTTTAATAAACTACTATTACCCCACAAATATATCTCAAGATGTGCTACGCGTGACACAACTCGAAATCCTAAAACAATAAAAAAGGCCGGCAACATGTGTTCTAGCTATTACTAATAACTGTCTAACCCGAACAGCTGAGGAGACAAAAAAAACATGGAAAGTTAGCTGTGGCTCAAACTAACGCTGATCCAACGTGAAATGCCAAATATTTTTTAAAATCTCTTGAGATGTTCTTGAAAACGGGTTACAGGATAAGAGATCTAATTTGACGCGCACGGTTTAAGCTGTTCAAAATGGTGATTGAAACGTTTACTTTGGAAAAGTTCTTAGAATTTTGTTATGCACAGAAAAATTAGGCACATACACAATAATAAGTTTTGCCGGGTTAAACGATAACACATATCGCTGTAAATGAGAATGAAGGTTATATGGGTGAAAAATAAAGTTCTAAACTGTTTAGCTACAAAATAATTTTAACGTAGATTGACATCAAGTGAAGAACCATTATAAGTCAAAACGTGATGGCTGTGTTATGACTACTGGTCCTAAGTATGGGAGATATTAACTAATAAATTGGGAATAAATTAAGAATCGTAAATCGTATAACAGTAACCAATAGGTCAGATGAAAGTTATTGATAAAAGGAATATGAATATACACATAATGTAGTTACTTAATAGCTATGTAATAACATTCAATAAATAATCCCTAGCAGTTACCATTCATTTATTCTTAGTTCAGATGTAACAGGCTACCAAGTTTATCATAACGCTAAACTTCTTTATACAAACACACTTCACAAGACTCATGACACGTCGCTTATTTCTCATAGAAATATATAATCATTCAACTATTGGACCAGATTTTAATAGCCTGAAATTACAATTTTACTTGATCTGCAGTAAAATAAGATGGATACTGATCACCATTGTTAGACACTTGTTTTTACCTATTAACTCGAACCGGTATATATTTATCCAATACATACGATAACTATTACTAATAAGCTCTAAAACTTACACCCTCAAAGCTTTAAAAAGTTAATTTCTAAACACCTCAATCGCTAGTGACTCAAAATTTAACTATTCAAATGAATTAATGGTATAAGAACCAATAGAGATTTGCAGCTCTGGTAGATGTTTTAGTGGTATTGTATCCTCTAAGCTACTTCATATCACAACAGGCGTACATGATGCCTAGAGAATGATAATGAAAACTTTCCAGTCAAACTAACACTACAACTTATTATGGTTTCTTTTGTTTGTTTTTTCTCTAAAATTATCTAAATGAGGAATTTTTAAACATACTATTTTTTCAGTGTTTTTCGAATTACCTATAAAGTGAAAACCATAATATAAGGATAATACAATACACCTCAGTGTTTGAAATAGTATTCAAATGAACTTAAAATATGTCAACTTATCAATCAACAACTAATAAACACGAATAGTTAAGAAGAAAAGAATCTGTAAGCTAAATAATTTACATCAAAATATAATAATAATCATATATAAAACAAAAGTGTAAAATTAACCAAATCGCTAAAAGTATACACAAATATACATACTTCAAACTCTTGTTGAATCAATTTAGATTGTTTCACTAGATCACCAACACAAAGTAACAATTCAGAACAACAATCTAATATAAGTGAATTCACTTGAAGATTTTCATTGTTGATTGAATTTTTTTTAGATTCCTCAATTAATCCCTAAAATAAAAGAATATGTTAACATATCAAGTTGATGTTTTAAAAAATCTCAACTAATTTTAAAAACTAATGGTAATAAATTTCACGATACATATACAAAGTAAACGAAATCAAGGATGATTAAACTGGACTAATGTCCAATTGACTGGGATGTCAGAAATTAGTAGCTAGAGTCTCTACGTGACATTGTTCAACATCAATACATTATTTATGTTAGTTAGAGAAATTAAGTCTTTCGTGAAGTTATATTTATATTAAGTCGAAGTATAAATTCTCATTTTAATGAACAGTTTCGATAATAATCTCAAACAATAAACAATGAGTATCTTCAGTATTAAAGAAATGTCTTATTGATGAGCGTCAATATGTATGGAAATAAACGAGGTATGTGACTAAATGATGATTGAATTCAGCATTTTAATTAGTAAAAAAAAACGAAATGTATATTTTTTGATAAAGTGTAGCCTTTAAAAGCGAGTTGCTATGTTTGAATATCAGTATGAACATCAACATCGGGATCCAAACATACTTAGTTGCAGAATCCCGAACAAGATGGAACAAGCAATCTGGATCTCACTGCTAGCCCCAGTTCATAAATTGATAAAAAAGAGATGATTACCTGGAATTTCTGTTCTGCAGCTGTGATAGCCTGAAAAGTGGTTTCCATTTCTTTCTGTATCACATCAGTCGACGACATAATGTCATCATTATTGTAACCATTCGACAGAGAGTTCGATAAATTTGTTACTTCAGTAGACATATATTTTAACTGATTATGAATCTTAGATAAATACTCTTTGATTTGATTGAAATAATTGTGTTTATCGTTATTATAATCTATATGATCCTGATTAATACTGTTGATTTGCAGCAGAACATTAAGTAATTCCGTAAATTCACTTTGAATTAAGTCTAAACTATGTAAACAGTCTATAATGTAAAAAAGTTTCGAAAATAAGAATAAATTATGACAAACTTTCACTTAAACATAAAAACTCGAAACTAGATTATCAAGGAAACAAATTGTATGGGATAAACTTATATGTAGCGTCGATTAATACACTGTTGCATAATTATTATTGTCAGTATCATTTAATCGTCTCCAGATATCCATGACAGAGTTTTATGAAGCAAAAATAAATGGACAATTTTCTATATATATTCCGAAACTTTAGAGAAGTTCAACCGCTTTCATAATGTTAGTATGAAAAAGAGGAAATGTGAATAACTCACTAGTCAGCTGTCAATGAACTTATCAGGCTTGTGTAATGCTGATGTGTTTCTCCACAGTAGCGAATGCGTGTCAGCCAGTGTTGGGATCAAAGATGTTAACGACAAACTACTTGGGATATCTAATTTCAATAATTTTGCTTGAAATACACTACTATTTATCATCGTTAATAAAATAAAATAGCTAGTTATCAAAAAATAACAAATGATAATTCTAAGATAGATCTTATGTTAAACAAATAATGAAAAACCATATATTTAGAGCCACAACTATGTATTATGAGTAGTACGCAACACAAATCAGGAATGGAATGCTTGGGAGCAGAAAGTTGAGGAGATTAAACTGAGGAAAAGAGAAAGGGAAACTAAAAAAACGAGAATTGGAAGAATGAGGGAGAATGCAAAGGACAACCCATGGAAAATTTTCAAATGAAGTATTTAATGTATGAATTCACCTAGTGTTGTTTTACTTATATTTTCCTATTGTTACTTAGGACTGCAGTTCATCAGTTTCATATTGGCATCCTACTCAAATGAATTAAGGAAACAGATGGAGTGGAATTTGAATCAAATACTCCATGGTTTAAAATCGAGTAGCCTAACGGTCAAAGTGCTCCCATACATTAGTAAAATAAGTTCGATAAACCGATACATCCACGAGACTATAATTTATGAACGACTTGTGAACGAATCTTAAGCGACCTTGAGAAATATTAACCAATCAGCAAACAGTCAGTACAGAGTAAACATATATTATACAAAACCAAGTAAATAAAGTGGATACACCTCTTGTACATGGTTCAAAAACTTGTCAAGGTCAGAAAGAAGTTCAGGGGTTCTAAAACCGTAATCCATGCAGTGGAGGAAATCATCCATATGGCTACAGAATAGTCGGCCTCTGGAGCTACGATAGGTTCGCAAAAACTCTTTCAGCCTCGACCACATAGCTTTAATATTGCTTGTGTGCACTCCGGTTGTTATGCACACAAAAAGCCATTTGTGGATGACGACACCATGCACATAACCAAGCCTATGTAGGAGTCTGTACGCTCTCCAGTCATCTGTATATTTTGTAGTATCTGGCCGCAGCCAGTGTTAATCGTGCTTTTATTATCCAGTTCGCAATAATTGTCATAATTTGCATTAGTTAGAAATTATATATAAAGTTTTCATCACGAACTGACATCAGATATAATGCCAAAAATTTATCTAGCCAAAAGGATGAAAGGCTTTCGCGCCGAAATGTGAGATCTGTTATCTTATACCTGGTTGGTTCGTTCACAAATCATAATCTCGGCGGTTTATTTGTTATAGCCGCTCAATTATTACGTTTTGTATAAAATCCTATGTGAACCGATCGTACGTTAGCATTAAGTACTGAAGTTGGCGCCGTGACCTCGGAATCCCTCAAAGGCTTCTGATTGGCTCGTCCATAAATTATAGTCTCGCCAATAGTTCGACAGTTCATTATTAACTGAATTATTATAAATTATGATTATAACTGTACTAGTACAAAATTAGCTTTATAAGTCTATTTCATGAGAAGAAACACGTGTATTGAATTGGATTCCACTGCTAATCACATGCTATCTATTTTATATAAGCTTGTGTTATAATAGCTATATCAAGGCAATATACACAGAATGTACATTTGCCAATTGAAACTCATCAAAATTCCGTCAAAATTTTAACAAAGAAATGATCTAAACTATTATAAACCAAATTATTTCAAAAGACTTTTTTTAATGAGTTATCCTGGTGATAACTATTGATACTTGAATAGGACTGTGATAATCTTTATTAAAAGTTTACAGAATATTAAAATTATGCCACTATCATTTCATGGTTTAATGAAACTATTTAATTTATTGTCAAAAGAATATCAATACAAACTTCAACATAACTTTACATATTATTTATATTTCACTAATAAATATTTTGTTATAAAACAGCAGTATCAAAGTTATTCAATTTTTGTTATGTAGTATAACCTATAGAGTTCTTGGTCGATTCTGACGACAAATATGGAAATCTTGTAGTGATACTGAGTAGGAATCTGGTAAATCATTTAACCAGAAGTCTGGAATCGTAATTAAACCACAATTACGATACATGTTTAGGCTTCGTAGGAATTGAAGACAATCCATCGTGTCAATTAGTGATCACCAGTTAGATGGGAGCAGTTCAGAAATCGACATCTGAATAATGTTGATTCTTTTCAATGAATATTGCCAGCCACCACAACGTCTCTGATTGTACTTTTTGTAAATTGTACAGCGAAAGGCTGTTACCTTTTCATTAACGTACCTGAATAGGTTATACGATTAAAAGACATAATGATGCGTTAAAACAACCAAAAACAGAAAATATGTTGAAATATCTACATGGCAGGAACAGGTAGTTCAGCTATTTAAGCAGACCGCCATTCATTACTAATATTATAGCACGCATAATAAATCACATACATTTCTTGGAAAACAGAAAAAGGGAAACCCAGATGACTTTTTTGAACGACTAAAATATACTTAATTTTCAAAGACGTGGAGAAATCCAATTGAGGTGTATACTTATGTGTTTGCAAGGAGAATTTAATCAATCCACACTTTTCAGAATCTAAAATCACACTAAGTTAGACAAAAACAATATTAGATGAGATAAAGTACCAGGAATAATATCAATACAATCGCTTACTGTATGAAGAATCACTTGTAACATTTGATTGACGTATCGATTTAGAGAAAAGAGATAGTAATGATAACTGAGAGTTTAGCTGACCAATATAATATGAAGTTTGAATCAATCCTGTTAAAATATACAAATTTATATATAATGAATAGTAAATTGAAAATTATTTTATTATACTTCTAGTACACTGTAATACAAACTTAAAACAATCATGAAGTAAAGATTAATACGTGGTATCCCCAAATCTAGTTTAGGCGATATGTTTTACATTTATTACTGGCTAAACACTAACTAATGTCACGTTTGTTTAGAACGTAATGATGGTCAAACAATATTGATGAATTTTCAAAGTAACAACTAAATGAAATGACTCCATATAGTTGCACGTTTTATTTCATGGTACACAGTTATCAGGAAACTCCAAACATATGTTCCATGCTAATTTTTACTTATCAGCAAAGTATGCCAATGAATAGTAACCAATGTTATGTAAGTAATTATTTAGTGTCTGGTGAAATTTAATTAGTCAAGTTGTAACGTGACCATCATCAGTTTAAGTAATTTAGTATCACAGGGTATTGCATTTGATGTGAAGTAATTGTGAGGCTATAACTACAGAGAGTGGTGGGTCCAGGTTTTTTTTGTCTAACTAGATCGCTAGCTAATATAGAATTTGTTTCGAGAGATGATAAATAAAAGTAAATTGCCGAAATCATAAACATTAAAAGATTTCGTTGTATATACTTCAAATAAATGATAAACGTTAAATGGTTCATACTACGTGATGAAATTATGAAATTGTATCAATTACACTTGAGTGAAACGTACATCTAAAATATGTAAATATAGAAATAGGTGAATCTTTTGAGTCTCATTTCATCAGTTACTTGCACTTATGATATCCAAATTCTTTTAATAACAAACTTCAAGTAACTAACTTCTTAAATTTGTTTAAAACTTAATAAAAAAAGCCAATGTTATACCTACGACTGAGACACAGATTAATTAATTGATTCAACTTATTTAGGAAAAACATATTTCTGTACCAAGCTTCGAGCCACAATAAGTATGAGGACATTTGATACTAAAAAAGTACATAAACCGAAGTGGGTGGAGCGGGGTTAGTTCACAAGAATTCATGGTTAGGGAATGAACTCCAAAACACAAAGTCACTATACCACATATTCATCAAATAATTTTTTTCCATTTTCTGTTTAACATTTTGATATTTCCTCTATCTTTGTTGTCGTTTGTTGTAAAATATTCGTCAAGTGAAAAAACATTGATGAAATAAAACACAAAGATTTATCTTTTTTATAATACTGTGATCTAAAGACAGGTTTAACATAAGGAGAGAAATTTCATTCAATTCAAAACTACAGGTTGCTGTTCATTTATTTATTTCAACACATAGATATTGGTACAAAGAGGCACCAAACACATATGCGCCATACAAATCGAATCAGATTTGTGTGAGGGCTGTGATACTGCCCGGGTGCTCAAACCGAAGCAGGTGGTTTTCTTAGGGGGCCACACCCCGAGCCTTCGGCCAAAAGGTCTGATCCACAAGGCAGTGGAGCATCGTCAGGAGATGCAGTCCCATGGAGGCCGGTGACTAACAATTGGTTCATACGCCATTTGTTCCCTCAGGATACTGAAGCCCATGTGCACCATTGGTTTAGAATCCGGTTAAAGCACCGAACATTCGCTTTTCGTCCTCTCATTTTCGTAAACAACACCCACGCCACGAGAAGGCAGTGAGTAGGACTTCCCTGGCAGAGGCTATATACGCGTGGCCATGTGAGAGCATTTCGAGAGGGAGAGCGGACTCTCCCCACTCTCGGCCGTACCAGGGCATTTGGGGGCTGTTGTATACGTATCCAAAATTAACACTTAATATTTTTCAGTTGTAATCCATCAAACAAATTCGAATATTTAAAGAATTAATGAATAAATAATTAGATTTTAAAAAGTAAAACAAATAATTTTATAATTATTACCTTTTTCATTATCAGACAAGTAGTCAGTTAATGCAGATTCAAATAAATTAAAATAGTTAGTAACTTGTGATAAATGATTTAAAAAGTACGCTTGAATAGAAATAAACAAAACAAAAAAAAGTGAATGTTAAATAGCGCATAATATTTTGATTTCAACTCGTTGAACAAATTTACTATCCTATTGTGAAAATATTTTGACAGTAATAATTTATATACTTTTTAAAAGGATTAAATATTTAGAAACTATTGAACTTGAATGCGAATACGTCAATTATCGAAACACATTTGAATTTACTGATAAAATAGTAATTTGTTAATATAACAAAAAAATCAAAGTAATTATAAACATTAGTGATGAAATGAAAACAGAGGCATTAATAAATAAGAAAAATAAATACAGTGATATTAACTGTTCAAGATTGATAGAAACATAGAGGTATAATTCAATATCTCTAAAGGTATGTTATTTGAAGGTTTAGTGAAATTTAACCTCCAAAGCCTTATACAGTAGATGGTGGAAAATGTCTTCGTATAATCATGTAGCGATAGTGTTTCCAAAAATCTTGAGATGTGATGTACAATTATTAAGTCCAATAGGTGATTGAAAAGTCTCAACGTAAAGGAGAGGAAAACCTTACTTTCAAATCAGTGGTTCACACAGTTTTTAGGATCTCGAAAAACTAAGACAATATAAAACTCGTTTATTTATTGTGCAATACATTAATGCCTCATCTGACCCTATCGTCCTTCTTTATAAATAAGATTTTTGGATCAAGAACATAGTCAATAATTCTCCGATTAAACCATGCGCTTTCTATACATTGATTGGTATCATGTATAGATGATCTTGTTAATATGCAACAACGAACTTGATCTATCAACATTATAAAAACTAAGATTTCCTGACATATAATTTCTGCAAAATGTTAAAGAATGAAACTACTGATCGAATTCACGAGATCGTATGAATATAGTGGAGAAATAAAAGATAAGATAAAACTCACTTGGAGAACAATGTATGTACACTTCTATAAATTCAGGTGATTGTCCAATAGTTTGATTACTTTGTAATACAGATAATACCTGCTCAACGGTATTTTTTAAAAGCGTTTGTTTAAATTTATCTAAATGCATTGTTAATTCGCCATTCTTACAATCTTTATCATCACCAACAATATGTGTGAAAGTATTTCCGTTGCATGTATCATTTTCCCTGACTGCAAATAACTTCTCCTGGTTAAGTTGATCATTTAAAACTTGCAATTCATTAGTTAGTTTGGAAATTTTCATTTCAGAATCCTTTAATAATTGTTGACTTTTTGAAAGCTGAAATTAACAATCAATTAATCAGATTATTTTAGTTACGTTTTATCAATGAAATGATGGGATAATAGACTTTCGTTGCTATAACGAGGGAAATAGTATTCAAAATGCACTAACTATTAACTAAATAACCACGAAAATCATTCTGCTTAGTTTTTCGTTAATTAGTAAAAATAAATTACGGCTTGGTAAAACCGATCGCCTCATAAGATCACTACATCAAGTCATCACAGTGTGATGAAATTAAACATTTTATTAGTGAAGGAATCAAAGTATTACCAGCTTCTATGGTTGTGAAAAAAAACTAATCATCGAAAGTAAGATATAAAAAGAGGTAATTAGATAATAAACTAAAAGATATGAAATAATATTGAAGCTCAGTATTTAAAACAAGGATAACGAAAGTAACTCAGACATTACAATCAATTTCGAGTCCTTTCAATTATGATATCCAAATATTAACTATGCTAATCACAACCAAGAGGTCTTCATTAACCTATATTTAATGACTTCATACGTTGATATCTCATACTGATTTGATCACTTCAACTTTTTCATATTGGTTATCTTTTACTTTCTGGTAAAAATCTCTTAGACATAAATCAAGTTAGTATTTACAAGATAATTATGAGTGAAGTTAACAAAAGATTTGACTACAAAATAATTAAACAAAGAATACACTTTTGACGTAAGTTCGCATCAGTTGCTACAGTGATCATTTTAATTTGATGATCAAAAGGAATAAACACATTTCAAGTTAATATATATTAAGAAAAACAGAAAGAAAGGTATGCACTTAAGAGTAAAGATAAAATAAGTTTGTTATCAATCTTAAGTTCTGTTATGTAATGTTTGATTGAACAAAACAAACAAATAAAATTACAAGAATAATAAGACAATTAGACACATAGAAATAAAAATGATAGAAATAGTAATCAATAGATCTACATTTTACAGATTTCATTAAAAAAAGTTTGACTATTAACAAGCTTTCAATTTGAGATTTAGATGGTGGTTGGAGGTAGTCAACAGGAAACCCTGGACCCGGGTTTCGTGCTATTTGGCACTCGTCAGCAAGGTGTACCTGTAATCTTGAGGGAACTGGTGCTCCCTGGCGGATTCGATCTCGTGTCACCCAGCTTCACAGTCAGAGACGTTACCACTGAGCTATCCGAGCCGTGACTATCCTCCTGTAGGACTGACATGTAATCAAAATTGATTGATCACTGGGAGGTGATCAATGTCTATGTCATGCTTGTCTAGTCACGATCGACAGCATTCGATCTGCACTAATAAGGACTAGACAAGCATGACATAGACATTGATCACCACCCAGTGATCAATCAATTGTGAAGCTTTCAATTTTTCAATCAAACTACTGAATGTTTTACTTTTCAAATGAGGTTTGGTAATGAGATAACTATCTATCTATCTATCTATCTATCTATCTATCTATCTATCTCTCTCTCTCTCTCTCTCTCTCTCTCTATATATATATATATATATATATATATATATATATATATATATCACTTTTTGTGTAGCATCATTATCATCATATTGCTTATTTCAGTAAATTATCATTCAATTAGATTATTTTTAAGTTTACTATGTTTGTAAGAGTTCCTTTTTTTCTAACAGTAAGGTTTAATTGATTAAACAAATATGATAATCATAAATATTCTATATATTTCCAATAGTAACCATATACACACTAGGAATAAGAATCATATGACATTTATTGTGTATCATTTGTGTATTAGTCAGAATGATAGAGAAGAAAAAAATGATAAAGAATTATGAGAATAGTTATCAATGACTTCTTCCCAGTATAAGTTCATATATAATTTTAATGATATCAATTATATCGTTGATACTGAACATTAAGTGCCCTTCAAGTTTCAACAAGTAAAACTTCTCTTTGAAGCACACATAAAATAAATCGTTTTCATACAGCCAAATATAATTAACACAAAAGCTACAATTTTATGTAATGATTAGCTTATAGACAATTGTATAATGTATATTTAAACAATAGTATTCATCGAATTATTTGGTGGAAATTCGAAAAGATTTCTTTTTCAAATAATCGAAAATATTAGACTAAATGCAAGGAATAATGTAAGGAAACAGAAGCAAAAGATTATGGTAAATCAGATCTTAACAACATAAAATGAAGTGATCATATTATATGAATCATGTTAATTAACACAAAATACAACATACTAGTTTGCCAGTTACTCGCTCATATCATTTTATGCCTTTCAGACAGAAGATGTACTAGTTTCCAGAATGTCTCAGACTAAAATAACGATAAAGCGAGGAATGTTATGTTTTTGTTTGACTGTATAAAGATGTCTTTAAAATATATTCCACCCAAAAATGCAGATAAAAATGTTTGAAATCTATCAAATATCACCTAACAATCCACTATATAGACATATCGTCTATAATCAACGATACATATACAAGCAACATAAAATCATTTTAAAAACTAGTCGTTAGAAAGAATAGTCATGGAAATATTCATACTTCGATTGTCGCAACACAATTTTTACGAAAAGCGATTGACATTCGGACCACGTTAACATTTAAAGGCAAACTATTGTGTAGTGAAGAAGTAAAGGTGAAATTCCTCAGTCTTGTTTATTTCCTTGATTAAAAGTCAAATCGGTGAAAAAATCAAAAAGTAATATCGCGCTACTTATGCCATAAATGAACAGTATATGCTGGAACACTAAAAATTCTACCTCACACATGCACTGAACTACTAGACTATCATCTGTATTTATGACTATTTCTTTCCAAAAATGAGTATATTACCTTGTTAAATTAGTATGTATTTGAAGTTAGTTTATTAAACACTGTCCCTTATTCTGCTGAAATTTAGGTTAATCTGGGAAGAATTGGTCACAGAAAAGAAACTTCAAGATGATGATAACATGGTCAGTTGCTTGATTGACTTTAAGATATACTAACAAATCAATTATTATGAAATTTAAGTAAAATTAAAATTCGGATATTTGATATTACTTAAAGAGTGTGTATATACAGGTAAAACAGTAGACTAATTATCTTAAGATTGTACAATAATCTAATTTTAAAGGAAGCTACAGTTTTCATACAAATTTATATTGACAAGAGAAACTCAATGACACAAATTAATAGAAATTAGTAGTTTAACAAAATTATGAAAAGACTTCAATGCGTTTATAAGGCGACAATGAGAAACACAAAGAATTGTTTGTAAATAGGAAAAAAAAATATTGAATAAGCATTATGTGTAACAGATATATGTAGATGTATGGATGTAAGCACAATATGAATAAATTACAATTTAGAAACTGATAATCTTAATGGATAAAATGATTTATGTATACTAGCCAAAAATACATATAAAAAACAATGATACACAGCTAATACCAGAGCTAGAGATAGATATTAGATGGTAATTTAATAAGTACTTCATGATATCTAGCTGAATCAATGAAAGAAAAAAAGTCAGTTCAGACTATATGTATCATAACACTAACATGTGAAACAATCTACTGTTAGTTGTTTAATTCACAAGATACAAGATTTAAATCAATAGTTGGTTGACTGAAACAAATATCTTTGAGAATTTCCCAGTGCTGTAATTAAACATGTTATAAGTGAACAAACGATTCAGGTCAATAATTGATAAAATTTTATTAATATTAAGGTTGCTTGGCTTCATTAACAAAGAATAAGTAAAGGCATAAACAATTCGATGGGATGAGGCTGTAATTAAGGTACTGAGTTGTTTTTATAGTATGTATTTTATCTTGACTTCAGATACATATACATAATAATCATAAACGTGAATGAAGCCAATTCTCTGGTTAATCGTAAGAAAAAAAGTGTCAGATTCTTTAGACAAAAAGAATTTCAATAAAACATTTAGATATAAACATTTCCATCTCTAAGGTTTTGGACTTCTATCCATTTGCTTCTTAGTTACGTAATTATAGCTTCATGATTTCCAGAGCAGATGTAAGTAACGTAGTGGTGCATTTTGTACCCTTAAGTTTACACTAATGAAGATTGATCAAAATTCCAAGATAGATTGAGTTCATAGGCTACCAACTTCATTGAATTATAAATAATCATATAAAACGTTTGATAGAATTACGAAATAACGCTGAATATACGCAAAGTTACGTATTGGGTATTCTGATACAGTCAGCTGTGATTCATAGACTTACTGACCATAGACAATCTCCACTATTTTCTCTCAAGTTCTAGACAGGAAATTCAAGTTTCCCTGATTTTTAATTCAACAGTTCGATCGATGGTCGTTCTGGTATAGTGGTATAGACTTTTTACCTTATTGTTTTCGCTAGATTTGTAAACTTTCTAGTTTGAAGATTGAAATATCCCATTGTAAATATTTTCGATTGAAATTTCATCAAAACATCTGGCTGACGTATTATACATAGAGCGAAATGTGTGTGCTAGATTCCACTTCTAGTAATATTTCATCTGTCCAATACTAATTTGTGTCATAATGACCATACTAAGGCAATCCACATGGGATGCACATGTGCCAACTAATACTGATCGAATTTCAATCAAAAATATATACAATGGGATTATACAATCTATTACAAATTAAATTGTGATTAGTCATGTTTATTGAAGAATTATTTTGACCACTAATTTTTAAAAACACTGTCAAAAAACATTCATTTTATCTCTGATCCCAGTATCTTTAATGACGACAGATTATTCTTCTCAAGTCACAGAGTATTTGAGTCTAGAGATAGTTTCATTAAGGAGATAAAGCGCCACAGCTTGCGTCATAGGATCACACAAATGATCAAAATAATCAAAGTGAATTAGTGGCCAACTAATGGAATATTTATTTAGAAACCACAGTTGTCATTTTATGTACCAAATTAACTTTTATACATATTTATAAATACTTCTTTGCCCATTTATAAAGCATAAACACAGTCATTAACAATAAAGTCAAATATCAAATAAGTTTTGTTCATTCACTAATCAATTCATTTCGAACTAAATTTTAGCGAGATTTTGTGAATATATAGTAAACAATGACCTCATAATGTAAACGAATGACATACATTAGGACTGTCATCTATCTTTCTATTTCTAATTGAGAGATGGTTATTTCGCTAGAATGACACTGCAAGCACAACTATTAACATGAACTACGAATAATCAATTTAGTAAATATTATATTGTAACCAATGGTAAAATAAATAAGTTTCATAATAAACAAATAAGTAATTCGCTTCATAATTGATTTCTAAAACTGAAAACGGCACAAACCTCTACAGTAAGTTGATCTTTATCAGTATTTACAGATTCCGATTTTGATTCATAGGCATTCAATTGATACTGTAGTTTTAAACATTGATCGACCAATTCTTCAGTTCGATTTCCAGATACAAGCGATTCAACTTCACCTAGTGATGACGACATTTGGTGGTGTTGGAGATCCTAGAGTAGAAAAGCAAGAATTAATTAATTAAATTTATTTTAACCTCGCCTGTAGCCCTATCAGGGTGTCTGGTGATCCCAAGACCAGAGGATTCAGAATGAAATAAAAAATACCACCCAGCAGAAACCAAACTTATTAAAAAATGCAACCACAATAAATAATTTTATCATTTAAACTCTGACCTACAATTTGAAGGATATTCATCCATAAGAGTTTTTATACATTATAGTGAAAGTCAAGATTCTCAGCAAATTACGAGGCCGATTCCCCTCTGATTATCGGAGCAACAATTAATATAGGTATATGAAATATCCGGACAATGGTGGAGATTGAGAAGATAAGTCAAATAGCTGCAGAAATGAGGAGATTCAACTTGGCTGTGTTCGGAATAACTGGAACCCATTATATCAAAGATGGACAGAAAAGGTTAGAGTTCAGAAAAGATGCTGTTGTATTCGGTTCATGAATGAGAAAATCTTCCACACACCCACGGAGTTGCACTGAAAGCGTCCAATTAACCACGAAAACCACTCACAGGATCGACATCACCAAATCATTCAGCAAAACGAAGCAGAGGATTACAATCAATGTTATTCAGTGTTATGAACCTACCAATGATAGCAATGAAGACGATAAAGATCAGTCTTATGAAAGTCGGAAATCGATAATACCGAAGTGCTCAGGAAATGAACTCACAACCCTGATGACAGATCTAAACACCAAAGTCGGAATGGACAACTACGAGCATAAAGATATCGTGGAGTTACATCAATTGACTGGGAGGGGGGGAAACGAGAATGGTGACAAATTTTCAAATGTATGTGTCCCAAACAAAATGGTTGTAAGTGGCACCACATACCCACACAAACACATACACAAGCAGCCTTGTGTATCACTCGATCACAATACAGGGAATCAGGAAGGAAACAATAAAAAACAGTCGAACAACAAGAGAAAAAGTGATAGCACACGTCGAATACACAGAAACGAACAAGTACGTGGAGAGGAGCATTACAGCCGACAAGAAAAAAAAATACATCAAACACCTACCAACCACAGCTGAAAAGACTGAATCAAAATGAAATATCACACGACAATATGACACAACGAAGAAACTAGCAGTGATATATAGTGAACCAGATCGACCAGTCAAGCAGAAAGAATGCAAGCAAATCACAGAGATTCAAGAACAGAGGAACACATGGGTTTAACACTCTGAAGAACTTTTGAATAGACCAGTCCCACTCAACTCATCAGACATCCAAACAACACACACACCTTTCCATAGCTATCACTCAAACAACGATCGAAGAAATCAGGACGGCCATCAGACAAATCAACAGTGGGAAAGCAGTAGGATCTGACAAAATACCAGCTGAAGTACTACAGTCAGACATAGATGTAGTCAGTCAGTCAGTAACAACGTAGAACCCCGTACGTATGTACACCAGTTCGAGTTACTATCCCACATTAGCACAGAGATGAAGTTGTCGATTCAAATCCCGTAATCGGAAACATTAGTGTTTGAAGACATTATTCAACGAGTATAATACAGTGAAGTAAATTTGGAAGGCGGAAAAATGGGACATGAAGAATTCATAAGATGAGAATTTGTGAGAACACAAAGAGTGAATGCACCTGCAGCATTGCAAACGATTTTGAGCCAAGGTCTCTAACCATCGGTTGCCTTCGTCTCACGGATCCCAACCAGGTAGTCTACACTTACCACAATGACTCAGTCCACTTGTCAGTGACTTCATGGATTTGTGCCATGTTTCGGTCTGGCCACCTCTAGCTTTCTTCCATCCTACTTCTACACCATAAAACATCGCACGTCGGGGCAGTCGGTGGTTGGGCATACGTAACACGTGACCCAGCCATCTCAACTGATGAAGTTTCACTACGTCATCAATTGATTTGCCATCCTTACCTAGTACCCGTTTCCTAACAACTGCATTACTTACTCGATGGTCCCAAGATATACGAGCAATGTTTCGAAGACATCTGTGGTCGAATACTAGTAACTTACGAATATCCTTTACTCTTACCGGACATGTTTCACTGCCATAAACTAAGACGGAACGAACTGATGCACAGTAAACACGTCCTTTGGTTGATAGACGGATATCTCGCCTACGCCATAAATGACGCAAGTTGGCTAAAGCTAGTCGAGCCTTCTGTATCCGTGCTGAGATTTCGTCACACACCAGACCACAAGAGTTGATGAGACTTCCAAGATAAGTGAAGCAGTCGACACGCTCAACTACTTCACTCCCTATCGTTAGTTCGGGTGTCGATGCAACCCAATCCTGAAACAACATTTTGCATTTCGAGGGGGAGAATCGCATCCCGAACATGCCTGCATTGTTGCTTAGAGTGGTCATAAGACTCCTCATTTTGTTAGCATCTTCATCAACAAGTAAACCTCCCGGTAAAGTTCAACCCATGGAAATTCAAATGAGGAAAGTATCATTTCTTAAAGCACGTCTACGATAAAGTTAAACAATAATGGAGAGAGTGGACATCCCTGACGAACACCACTTGAAGGAATTATTTCTGATGACAGTTCGCCATAAGCTCTCACTCGACATGTTGTGTTCCAGTAGAGAGCCTTTATAAGGTTAATGTAAGTGAAAAGATGATCCAAATTCTATTCAAGAAGATTTAAGAGGAAGAACGAATGTCACAGACAGACTGGAAAAAACGACACCTCGTCAAGATACCAGATAAAATGTGTGAACTAGAGAGGTATCACACTACCATCAGTACTAGGAAGAGTTTTCGACAGCGTTGATCGACTGAATCAGTAGAAGATCAACTTCAAGATAAACAAGCTGTATCCCGCAAAGAATGGTCGCAACAATCCGAATAATCGTTGAACAATCAATTAAATGGAACTTGTCGCTATGCATCAACTTCCTTGACTATGAGAAAGCGTTTGACGATGTGGATAGGAGAATGTCATGGATCCTTCTTCGACACTGTGATGTACGTGAGAAGCCTTTCATCATCACTTGAAATATTGAGGATTTGTAGCTCAGTTGGGTGATTTAGATGGAGTTCTGTTCTCTGAGTCGAATGATTTGGTCGTGGAGCTTTCATTGTTCTTCTGAACGACATCATCAGCACAAACTGCGGGCAGAAGTGAAGTGTTCGAATTTCTACACATATGACTCACAAATTGTCCTGTCAACCTTACACCAGTCATGTCTACCTCTTTATTTTGATTGTATCTTCCTTCGATTTGATTCTTCGTCCAATATTTGTCCATGATTTTTCTAATTGGTTGATGAATTAGATTGATTTCAATGTGTTTGTTGATTGCTGATTAATCTGAGTGCAAAACTTCTAAAAATCCTCTGGTGCATTGGTATTTCCTCTATCCAAGATTTGTGTGCTACACCTATTCTAAACGGCTTCAATAGTCTTGTAATTTTCTGTATTTTATATATGGTAGGATGATCCATTTGTTGGTTTCTGTACTTGATTTAGCTCCTGCTGAAGAGTTGAGTTGACATTTTTTAATCAAGTTGCGTGGACAGCCATCCTTTTGAAGGATAGTCATTAGATATTTTTCTTCTATTTTCCACGCTACAAGTGTGTTGCACTGTGCTTTCATCCTCTTTAAAAAAGTTTGTATGCAGTTGATTTTGTGAGGTTTTGGGTTGTTACAACTGTAATCGAGAATTCGCTCTGTGTTATTCGGCTCTGGAATAGGTGAAATCCCCCATATACCTGAGCAGTATCATCGATGAACAAGGAGGATTCGATGCAGATTTGAAGATAACGATTGGTAAACCGAGGGCTGTATTCCTACAATTGAAGTGCAACTAACACTCAAAACAACTGTCAACCAATATCAAAGTCTGAATCTTCAATACGAACATCAAGACAGTTCTAATATACGGAGTTGAAAATGGAAGAACTACTACAACAATCATCAAAAAGTACGGGTATTTCTAAACAATTGTCAATGCAAGATACTCAATGCCCAATTGTCGGATACCATCAATAACAACCTACTGTGGGATAGAACAAACTAGCTTCCAGTCGAAAAAAAAATCAAGAAAATACGTTGGAGGTGGATAGGACATACGTTTTAGAAATCATCAAACTGCATCATAAGGCAAGAGCTAACTTGAAATCCTGAAGGTCAAAAGACAACAGAAAAACTAAGGAACACATTGTGTCGGGAATCGGAATCACCTGGAAAGGACTGACCATGAAAGATTTCGATGGAGAGTGATGGTGGGTGGCCTATGCTCCCTTCGCGAAGAATAAGTAAATAAGTTTATTTAATTTACAGAACCCTAAATTGTATAAGGAAACAAACAAATTATTGCGAGGAGTGTGTTATGTCTAAGTCCCTTATTCCCTCTGAAACAGAATCGCGTATTAGAACGTCCCTGAACATCACCGAGGAATCGTTACATAAACCAAAGTGGTAGTACTTGTACATTGTAATTGAAAAATAGTGTTCCTCCTGAACTGAATGGCGCAATAATCACAGATGCACTGAGGACCACAATAAATCCAAAAGCAATAGTTTAACAGGTGATCTTAGGCACCGATAAACAGATGAACGTACTTCTAAATATTCATTTAATAGAATACCTATGTTACGTTACATACATTGTTATTACATTATGTTTGATCACGTTTTTAATGTTAACCAGACAATACATATACCTTAGCCGAATGTATATAGAAATAAAAATTATCATAGTTGGCATCTCGGTGTGTTTATCATTAACTAAATTGTTTATAACTGGATAAAATGTATAATAAATACTAAATGTATATCATTAATAAAACGAAATAGTTATATTTTACTGATAAAATCAAATAAAAACAATTTAAACTGAAACTGTAATAATATACTCTTAATTATTATACAGAGAATATGATATAATTGAATTGAAAATGAAATTATACGAAACAATTTCAGACATGGTGTATATTAAGAAAAATAATGCCATAAGGCAATTTAGTCTAAATATATACAAGTGTGTGTGATGGAGAAGAGAATAGAACGAAGGGTTAAACGAACACAGAGAATCTCTAAAGGCATATTATATTAGTTACTTACATATGAAGCTGTTTACCATCAACAAGAATTTGCTAAATATAACTTCTAGGTTTAATCGCTTGTTAAAATATAAATATTCCATATGTTAAAGATGCAACAATGTCAACAAACTACTTGCTGACAGATTATGTTGTTATTTTTGTTCAATATACTTGAATTTCTGTTTTTTTTTCTGCGTGTAATCAATCTATCTACAAAAAATAAAATGATCCCACTTCATTAATGCTTTATGGGCTATCGGGCATACTGATTTCTTACACTATGCCAAAAATCATCATTAGAAACGTGTTTAAACGCACCGATTGTTTGCTTAAACAATTCTTCTTTGATTTCCTTAATAAATCTTTCTTGGGAGATTGATTTTTGAAGTGCCTGGGGGCTAGAACGAAAAGAATGTTATGGTAGCCAAGTATCAAAGTCTAGATAGGACTTATTCTCGTATTTACAAAACATTATGATAACACGTAATTTCATTAGTGATGTTAGTTCTAACCAAAAGATTATAATAGTCACAAAAAGGGGCAATTTAAGAATTCATTCAAAGCTGTTACTCAGTAGTTACACCTATTTTTGTCAATAAATCTAGATAGACTTCAGTATCAGAAAGCTTCTTTAGAAACACACAAAATTAATCCATGAGTAATAATTGCATTGCATTGCATAATTGGATTTATATCTTGAAATAATAAAACAATATTGCTGACATACTTCAATTGTTTTTATTAAATCTTGATTCTTTTGAGTTTCTTGTTGTAAGTTTTGTTGAACATTGCCATACTACATGGATATTAAGTTAAATAAAAATAACAAACAAATATAAGATGTAATATTGTTTAAAGTTAAAAGTTATGGTATATAAATGAATTGATAGTAAAGTAAGGTACATAATATGAACTATGTACAATAATATTTGTAAGTTAGTGAAGCTATACATGCATCGTACATACATCATTATTAATTTTATATTAGTTAAAGAACTATCGAAAATCACTAAACATTTGTCGACATTACTTAGCTCAATTTATTGCTTAGTAGAAATGTGGACATTCCGATAATTCAAAAGTATTATGAAGAACAGGAATAATCTTGAGAAATTTCCAGAAACTGGTTCAGTTCTCTTGAGATATTTTGCAAAGTTTTAAATCAGTGAGATAATTTATAAAATAAATAAAATGTTAATTTGTCATACAGAAAAGTAGTGTTAGCTAAATATTTCAGTGTGAAGATCATTTGCAGTAACAGTTGGTAACTTGGATTCAAATCGTAAGAGCGGTATCAATTTCCTAGAAACCGTCAATACGGGCTGCTGCATGGTTTCAGACAGCAGAGAACTTAGAAAAAAATCTCTCAGCCTATTGTCTCTAGTCAAATAACATCAAATAAACTGATCAGAAAAATCGACTCACTTAAACCAATGACTATACCTTAATTTCATATATCGGGAATTCAATTAGCAATAGGGACTATGAAGTATGATATTGATTACTAACCAATGCTTAGTTAATGTAGATCACAATCACAAGCCAAATAGGATGCTTAAAGAACAGTCGTTGAAGTTGTTTTGAAAAAAAGTTATCTAAGCTAAAGAACAGAAAGTTGAATTGAAAAATATTGCGCTGACTGGCAAATTATTAAAAGAAATTGGTTATCACTATATATAAGAGGCTTTTTCTAAAGACTTTGATGAAAGTGTACATTTTTACTACATCGTTCGCAAAAAAGGAAATGACAAGCAATAGAAATGTTATCAGTAATATCTCAAAGTGAAGTTTACAATCATGTATGTTGCTTTATGCCAGTATTTCTTTTGCAAACTTATATTACATAATCAAATCGTTTCTAAAATAAACTCATTATAACACAATATATTTATACAGAAAATTTAAGATGATGAACACACGAAAAATATATCATTCTCCTGTGTCTTATCACCTAAACACTACTAAAAAAGTATTTAATCATTCAATTACAAGTATTCAACAACATGGTATACATTTGCCTCTTTATGTTATAAGTTTACTTGAATGAATATCAAAACTTGTATGTCAGTGGATTTAAAGAAGTGATCATCTTCAATGGAAAAGTTCATTATTTTATATAAGTATGTACGTTGATCATGGAGCAGATTGCAAGACATTTTTTAAATTAAACTAAAAGACTAAGTCTCAGGCACCTATATTGACAAAATATTTTTAGTGATAGTTATCCAATGTAAAAAGAATAATTATCAAATTGTAGTTCGTAAATATTAGACGAATCAATCACTTAATTTATGATATACTGATAAATTCACATAAATTGGACACTGCAATAAAAGTGCTCATAGCTGATTGAACAAGGGAAAAAGCTATTCAGTATTAAAATTGTTTCTACTTGCCCAAAAAGATCGACTGCTCGAGGTGAGTGACTTTCGAAAAAATGTCTGTACTGTCTAGTGGTAGAATTTCACAGAGATGAAAGTGACTGAAAATCACACTAATAATACTTTGAAGTATGAAATCGTTTACTAAATATCTGTAATGTAGATTTTATAAAGGTAAAAAAATTATCTTTGCAGTAGTAGTAGTGCTCATATTTAGAGGCGAAATCGTGAATTTGAAACATAATAAGGAACAGCATATCCTGATAAATTCAAGTCTTCATTAAACGATGTTACATTATCATATTCAGTCTCTTTAATTTATCTTAATCATATTATTTAAATGCCTTACACAAAACTTTCATTAATTATATCGATCAAATATAGAAAATCCGCTATAATGGTCAAGTTACATCCTATTAATATTTATTAAAACATTCCCTCATTCTAAGTAGCAGAATTTATGATAATCAAGCAATTTCAATTAGCTGGAAAGCAAGTAGAATTCTTCCATAATATGGGTTAATGTTATTTCGTATGTATTACATTAATAATTTGTTTGGATAAATTCATGTTCCTATTTTTCAGTCGATCAATTCCATTTATAATCGAGACAAATAAAAACAAAACACATAAAGTCATTAAGCTTTATTCTAAGTATCATACGTGCTCAGAAATCTGTGTGCTTATTACAAAGAACTAACAATAATATTTGTATTGCTTTTCAATAAAAGTTATTACCTCTAACAAGTGTTATAATAAAGATTTGCAATTAGACAAAAATTATTATCATTATTATTTTAATTTAATGAGGATATTCGTGCAAATATGAACAAATTTTTGATAGCTCAATGTGATCTACATTTCGAATGGTCTGAAATACCTAATCTGTTTATATTGTTTGCTTAACAAAAACACCTAGAATTATCATCAAACAAGAAAAGTGTACCATGATTATTGCTGTAGTGAGAAGAAAATCATTGCTAAACATTTTGTGTGGATTCTATGAGAAATAAAGTATATATATAAACATTTGCGTAAAATAGGACGTGTAGAAGATAACATAATCTCCACCCAAAGAGAAATGGTCAGAATAGAAATTTAGTTATGTTGAAGGTTGTTCGATTAATAAGGATTTGAACAAAAAAAATAGATATCTAAAAAGCATTTACATTTGCAAAAATTTCAGTGACTAGAATTTTAACAATTAGAATCTCATTCTTTTACTCAGCACACAAATTTTGTAAAAAATGTTTTGTTCGAATTTTTCACAGTCTTTTCGTTCTGGTTTTAGACTTTTTTAAAACGTGTATCGAGATTCCACAAACAATCTAGAACTCAACCTATAAATCTTGCAAAAATCATTATTTTTTCAAGTCAATATATTTCAATTTAAAGCTTTTCAAGTGCAGATAATAGTAGTAAAGCACAATACTCATCCAACTTTAATGATCAATTACTACCTTTTAATTTTTACTTATCAAACCACATAGACCTCAGTTTTTTTCATTGAAACTTCAAGTAATCCATTTCTAGTAGACACATACAATTATGACTTACTAATGTTTAATCACTCATCGAATATTTATACATCCATTGAATGGAAGTTAATATTCAATATACAAAAAGAAACGTGATAAACTTACATTTTTCAACAGAACAACGTGTTCTTCACGTAGTTTAGTATAGACTTCTTTTAATTTTAAAAATTTCTCTTCAAACATTTGAGCTTGACAAACTTTTTCAGTTAATTTCGTCTCATAGTTCACTTGTTGCTACAACAACAACAAAAACGTGGAAAAGAAGAGAAAAATAACTATTACTGAAATGAGATTGTTCAAAAATAATTAGTTCATTTTTATAATAAATTAAATTAATGTATACGAGAAAATTTCAATGAAATCCATCTTTAATCATGACTGAGTAACTTGGTTACAATTAACAAAATAATTTTTAAAAATTAATAATATTTACAACAGTCATCATAATTTTATGATACAACTCAATGACTAAGTATAGACTTATGTAATTGATTTTATTTTATATGATAAAGTGTTACTATTACTTAGTTCTATAAACCAAGACAGATGAGACGAGGTTCAAATGTGCAACTTAATTTCTAAAATGTTCAATACCTTAGTTACGATAATAAGATCGAATGCAATTTCAATTATGCTAATAGATACTTTTTTTAAATGATAAATAATGCCAATTGTCCATGTTGATAGAGTCAAATATTATTTTTGGAATATTTCTGGCCTAAACTGTCAAAATTTAAATTATCTTTCGTACGTATACGGTTAATATATACTTTTTAAATTTAACTAGTATACTGTCTAGTTTAGTAGATTATTGAAGAATGTTTTAGGAGTATAGGATGGTTTTCAACCATAAAAAATGTGTTATTGATTAGATGCCGTGGCTACTGATAATGATCATATAACATCGAGGATAAAATAAAAGTTGGAAATGACAACAATTAGATTCAAACTCATATATTTCATATCTAGGGTTTAAATTCGACTAAAACACTGAAGAAAATAATCAAAGTTATCCAATACAATATATTTCACCTAGAAACTACGTTTATTATACAATAAAACATTTTCTATGAATAAATGTAAATATTTGCCTTACTTAGTTCAGTTGTATAATTAAAAGTGACGGAATATAAAATCAATCAGACAAAAACAATACTTATTTTTTTACAAATAACCAAACAACATTAAATGTCAAAAAAGAGATTGGAATTATAAAAACATATTTCGAATTCCTATTAGAAAACTGAACATCAGTATAAAAAGAGTAAATGGATGTATTTAATACACATAAACGGACTTGAAATAATACAAAAGTTTACAGAGAGATCCATCGGTTCAGGCTATTTCACTCACCAAATCACGAAAATAGAAAAAAGATATAAATGAAAAAAGGAACAAGGTTAAAAGGATGAGAAGTACAAGGAAGGTAATAGGAGTTACAATAAAAAGATAAATATGAGAAACATTAGTTAAAATCGTGAATCAATTGAAGCTAGACCGTCATGGAAAATCTGGGAGCGCTAGACGGCCGTTTTGTCCCAGTATGGAACTACTCAGCGTTCGAGCGCTCGCACGCGAGACTGGTAAGTCCTAGGTTGGAATCTCGCGAGACGGGATCGTGGACGTGCACTGTCGAGGAGTCCCACAATAGAACCAAACGGCCGTCCTGTGCTTCTAGGTTTTCCATGGTGGTCTAGCTTTAATTGACTCACGATTTCAACTATTGGAATTATTAAAATTTCCACAAAACTCCTTCTGATAAGAAACATTATTCAAAAAATGCATGAGATCGAAAAAACAAAGTACACAATAACACGAAGTATCAGATGAGAGTATCGAATGAATACAGCTATATTGGTAAATATCTTGAATCCAGTCATTCGTCTCCAAATTAAGACTGTGATTATCTCGTTAATAAAAAAAGTTTAGAAGATCTTAATGTGAGTCAAATAAGCAGTTGGTGACCTTAAAAATGATGTTGTGTCTTGATCGTCATCCTTTTCCAGCTTTTGTTTAACCTAGTTCTATGATAGCCGATACTTCGCGTTGGCGTATGTGGTTAGTAATGATGTCTAACACTTATCCACATTATCTTAATCAATAAAGGTTTATAGTCTCATCAATCTGTATCCCATATTTAGCTTATACCCTACTTCTACTCTCTGAAATATTCTTTAGCATTTATTGTCTGTGGTGTTAGTATTCTCATAAAAAATTTTGCTTTCGAAATTTTAGCTTTACATTCAAATTCAGTAGATTGGCATTCTAATTCAGAATTGAACTATAGTATAGTTTTAATAATCCCTTATTTGTAGGTAACATATTACTAAACACACATAGGACACATGATTGACTTTGATAGTAGTCACGACATTTTAACGGTTTAATTAACCCTGTTATATGGGTTAGCTAATAATATTGAATGTATCTTTTTATAATAATATCATGTTAACTTTAAAGTATTTTACCATAAAAATAAGAAATTCGTTTAGTAATATAAACAATTGTAGAGGTTATTTGAAGCGGTAATAGAAAGTAACCATAAAAGTTACTTTTAGAAACGTTTAAATCCTTCAATCTAAAATTAAACATCTTACAAAAAATAGTCAACCCAATCAGGTATGCCTAATTCAATATTTGGTGATAAAGTATATTTAAAATTTGTTACACTATTATATTTTGTTCTTTAACAGTTTATTTAGCGATAAATACTGTAGTAAATTTTTATATATTATGAAATGAGCACAGTTTGCATTGATTTTATAAGGGGTTGGTAGCTCGAAAACTCATAACAAATCCCAAGTATCTATCATTGAAAAAGGAAACGTTAAAAATTTGAAGGGCATATAAGTTGTTTTCGAGATATTTCATAATTTCTTGATGAGCATTGTACAGTACTGAAAATTTCATATAAAAAGTTTCATGTCCACTACCACCTCCAACTGTCTGTATACTATCAGATTTCTAATTCAATTCGTATTCGAAATGATGAGTACTTCACAGTACATCACATAAGTATTTTTTAGTATTTATATCATACATTCATTGTATGGTGTGTTTTTTTATTAACTGAATGAAATACCTGTATTATTTCACTGTAAAAATGATTACTTTAGAGAAAAATTAGTTTCTATATCTTAGATCCCCTAACATGTTTGCTAAGCATATGCAAAAATAACCAACTGAAATGAAAAATATACTAAAGTTAAAACTTAATTATACCAAACTTCTGCTCATAAGATAGAAGGGTCAATGTTTTAGAATGTATATATATATATATATATATATATATATATATATATATATATATATATATATATATATATATATATATATATATATATATATAGCTGCAAAGGTGTTTTAGTTGTCAAGTAAAAAAACCCAATGGTCAGTCATAAGCAAAGTGAGATCTGAAGCACATAAATACCGGTTCATGTTACCACACTAGATATCAGCACAGAAAGATGTAACTATTAAGGTGAATACTATAGTAATAGAAGTAGTAATGAAAATGTATCGGAGATAGTGTAATAAACTAGAACACAGGTAGGGACAACCAATAGTACTTTAACACGTAATTACAGAATGTCTTGATAAAATATGAAAACCATGCATTAAATACTCCATTTGAAAATTTCCACAATTTATCCCTCACATTATGTATGATTTTACCTACTAATAATTCCTTTCTATTTGCATTTCTGTTCCCTTAAACTTGATCGTCTTAGCCTTCTGTTACCAGGTTTTCCACTTCCGATTAGTATTACATACTACGTATGCCGACAGACATATGTAGCATATACCACATTAGCAAAAAGATTAATTTTATAAAATTTAAATCAAGAGGAAATAACTGATTCCAAGAATGAAAGATGCAAAATAATTTTGAAATCCAGAGTATAATAAAAAGACAAAAATAAAAGTAAGGTAAATGAAAATGCAAACCATTAACAGAGTTCAACTATACAATTTTGTAATTGACCATGTAACAAGTTAGTTGACAAGTGAAGACGATAATCACTGTTTCATAAAAGCAACCACAAGTGATCCGAGTAAGCTGGGGAGTTGTGAACTTTCTGAATAAGATATATGGGATTGTTTACAAACTTCGAATTTCATACAACGAAATCGACCATAATGATGGAGATGCATCCGCGATTTTTCTTTCCTTCACGTCTTGAATACTTTATATTTGTCTCTTCCTACATACACATCTGTTTTATTCATAATGATTTTTTCACTTCTACTCTTTTTTCTTACTGTACTGTTGTATAGAGAAATGACAGTAATCAATGAACTTCAGTGAGATTCTATATAGTTCTACGTTTATCTAGTTTAATAAATAAAAGTATCAAGGTAAGACAAGTAGATGCTTTTGATATGCCGATCCTGATACACGAGTATCTAACTGGTCATCGGGTTTTCATTAAATATTTGTGCATTCATTTCAAAAATAGTCATTAATAGAAACTTAATTATTCCTAGGGAAGCGAGTTTGTGAATATTGTTGAATTTCAGAGTAATTTTCATAACGAATTATGATTATTTGTAAAGCGAATGAAAACCAGGTAGTACAAAGCATCTTTTAGGTTTCTTAGTCAATAATCTTAATACATCTTTTTTCTTAATAAATTTCCTTAACAACTGGTTAATAGAAAATAACGACGTACTTCTACTAATGATACTACCAATGATACTAAAAATAATAATAAACAGTTAGACATTGAACTTCAAAAAAATGATCTATATTATTTCAGCTCTTCCCAAAACATAAAATGGCACCGAAAAAGCAGTAGAAAGCTGAATAGTAAACAAGCAATAAGCAATTACACACATAGACACTAGTATACAAACAAATGAATAGAAAGAACAAATGAAAATTTTGTTTAAAAATGAAAGAATAAATAAGAAATTGCTTCTTTAGAAGACTAAGAAGAAAAATGTTTGAATGAATTGGTGCAGAAAAAAATAAGAAAGCAAAATCAATCAATTTTTGTTTTCAAGCTACCATATACAATGAAATTGACGCACTGAAATTTTGTATAAATTGCGTTCTTAAGCTAGATGGTTTGATGAATAAATTTTCATTGCCTTTCTAGACAACACTTCATAGTTAGACCACTCAGCACAAATAATCCAATTTCAACAATATAATTTTCGTAAACTAAAAAATATTCACTAATATCTCAATACAATAAACTACTTCATACTGTAGAGCACCAAGAAAAATGATTGAATCGACAAACCATTTAGTTCAATAAAGAACTCATCTTCATTTTATCAATTTATTGTGGAAGAACTGATAACTGTTGAAAACTGTCTATTAGGTAATTGATATCTACGAGTTTTTATTGATAAATGTAGGAAAACTAAGGACAATAAAGGAGCTACAGTAATTAAAATACCCATTAAGGACAAATAGTACAAGACTTAACATTGCACCAATGAGAAACTAATCTGAATCTAAACCGATAATCCTGTATAAAATTACATGTTTACTAACTCAATCAAAGGACACCAGACACAGCCATTTTTGCATAAACGTATGTGTAGCTGCCAAACAAGTTATATCCCCTAATGATAAAAATGGACTACCCTTGATTTCTCCGGAAACGCTCCCTTAACCCTTCGTTTAAGAGGAATACAGACATTGAGTATCACAATTTGTATACATAATTTGGAAATAGAAAAACAAGTAGGCACCATGAAATCGTTACTGAACCTATTGCCACTACGCGTCGGAAAGCAGATCTGTGTTAAAAAGGAAATCTTTGTCTTTGAAACTGTTTTTTCATCGGGGTTTTTCAACTCATCCACTGAATCGATTAGTTCGTTATGTCATTTCTTCGACTCTCTTCTAGCTCAATAATTTTATCGCCAAATAATTAAGCTTTACTCGTTTTACTCTTCCTTATTATTAGAGTTTGTTTCTTATGTGTCCATTTATTTTTAAGCTTTTTGTCTTTTGCTATTATTAATGTTTCAGAATTTATATCTATCAGTTGTTCGAATATTCCCAATAATGTTTGAAACTGCAATTGACCAATCGCTTTTAGCACATGTGGATCTTGTGCTTCTATGTTTTGATCTCGCCATTGTTCTTAACTATAAGTGACAATATCGAGGCAATCCGTACAGGATTCACATATGCTAAATCAGACTGATCAATTTCAGTCCTAAATAATAATAGAAGAATTCGACTAATCAGTTCATATAAATTCAAGTTCAGCTATCATACAAGCTAGTGACTGTCTGGACTCGGTAGCTAAGTGGATAACGCGATGGCATTTAAAGTGAATAGTAATGGGTTCGAGTTCCGCAGTGAACATCAACTCTGGGATGAAGGTGCATACAGCTGACGGGTCTGATAGAAAACGAGACGCGAGTCCTGAATTCCAATCCTAACCATCATGTATATCTGTTTTAAAATGTTCCAGAATGTTCTTCTACACATGATCTATGTTTTAAATACTTTGTTCAATCACAGATCATTGAAAATTTGATTTCTTTTCAGTATATTTGGATAAGAATATACAAATGGAAGACTAGATAAGAGGACACATTTATCTTAAACTTTTAATAAATCAAGTGATATATATAAATATATCTTAGAAAAAATCAATTCTTAAAAAAAAGCATTTAATCCCTTTAGAGTTGATTTTAGATTTTCTATGGCGAAATTTTGATTCACCTACAAATTTTGAGAAAATTCACTGTTTTTTTATGGGTATAACTTTCATAAAAATTTGGTCAGATGATGCTATTTTTATGTATACAATAAAATGCATGCATTAATTCTTCAATTTGACAGTTAGAAATAATCAATAAGACAATAAGATCTAACGTTCAATTTCGAACCTAAACATATTTTGATGATCAGACGAACATATTTCATCGCCATTGATAGAGATTTGTAACATGTATAGAATTTAATGAACTCTATACAAAATAAGATATAAGAATAATTGGACGATTAGGAATCACCATTTAATACTTATCAAAGTCTGTTAATCAGATAGTATAATTCATTGTACGATTATAAAATCTTCAAGTAATTAACAAGGGTGGAAACATAAATTTAATAGTCGAAATCAACCAACACTGACTTCAAGTTTGAACCATTTCAAACAATTTAAACCCGATAGTTGATATTAGAGACAATCGTAATTAGTGGTTGAAGTAATCAGAAGATATGGGAAAGAATGGATTTTAGTGGAGTAGTTACATTTTTATCTAATCTTCAACCAAATCTTCAATTTTTACTTTAATTCGTAGCATTCATTGTCCATTGTCACTCATTTTTATTACTCGTGGGGAAGTTGGTACTGGGGCTAGTTAGCACTGTACACACATGATTCTGCCAGGTATCGAACGCATAACCATCAAATCTCTTATCGAATAACTTACGTTTATATCAGTGAATCGGTAATCAGTGATCTACATAACGTACTCTAGTTTATTCAGAGGCATTCATTTATTGCCTTTTGTGATGACTGTCTCATTTTCAACACGGCTGTAGTCCACTGATGGCTTCTCAACAGAACTTTGGGAAATATTTTGGATTTAGTTATTAATGTGCAACTGAATATTATTATTTTGATGGGACACTTATTATTATTTGGTTTGAAGATACCTTACAAGACAAAGCGATAGTAAATCGATAACCATAGAAAACCATAAGGCACTGCATAAGTGTTATTTAAGTAAAGTTAATCTATGGTGTGAATGATCTTTGAATAAAACACGATTTCCATAAACGTTTAATTGATATAGTATATTTTCAAAAATATTTACCTCTTCATGATTAGACTTATATTGTACAAGTTCTTTGATTTCATCTTCTAATATTCGTATACGATTCAAAAGCGAATAAGATTGTTCATGATGCTGAACGAAAACAGGAAGAAGTAAAGAGGAGATGTAAATAATCCAATATTCATATCTAAAAGATTTTCTTACTAAAAAAATACCACGAAAACATTCAACATGAGAAAAACATTATTGAGTTAACAGTAACTACGATGTAGCGGAAAATGTTTTGTTCATTAATTTTTGAACTTTTAAAGCACTAGTCATTCAAGGTCGGAATGTACAAACATCGCTCCTCATAGACTGATCCCAATTCACGTACCACTGAAAGCATTGGAAGTGATTTGTTCTCGTATGGGAATCCTCACCAGTGCACACTCATGACTCCAACAGAAACCAAACCAAGGACCTTCAGATATGTTGAGAGTGAAATAGTCATCAGTGTCGTTGAATAATCGTCGCCCTATATATATACTCTTACATCATTTATTTTACAGTCAAGTAAAGCGGAAAAAACATGGTTTTGATGATATATTTTCGTCTTTAAAATTATTACACACAGAAATGACAGTTCATCTTATTTATCTTTAAAGAAAGGTAACCATAACGACACTGACGAGCACTGAGTGTTCTCAATAATTCCTTACTCCTTAAAATAATCTACAGTATATTTTTCAGCTAAATTGTCGGTCGTTAAAATCGTGATGACTAAAGATCAAATTATTAATGTACAACTACCTTTTTTCAACTAATCACTTCCAAAATCTTTTAAGAATGATACAATTCTATAGTCTAACATTATAGGTTTTAGAGAAGTTTTAACAAATCAATGTATAAATGTTGCTTACTTCTGCTTTTAATCTTTCTATTTCAGACTTTAACAACTCCACTTCAATGAGTACTTCATGTCTAAAAATTAATTTTTATAGGGAAAACAATGAATCACTACCTTTTAAAATTAATTGTAGAAGAAAAATAGGAATTTGTGTATATTTAATTTTCATATCAAATAAAGTCATGAATAAGTAATAAAAGGAACAACAAAAACATCAAGTATTTTGAGATCTGAAAAAGATGATTACTTATTCAAATGTGAGAAAATATGCAATTAGATAATGAGACGGTGTTTCACTTCATTCCAAAGTTATATATATCGTGTTGAAATGGTTAACAGGGTTGAAAACGTTATAACAATGACATCATTAAGTTAACACAAACGTTTTTGTAACTTTGAGCAATTTATGCAATCATCTATGAACTTTGTAATTATAATAATTATAATAATGCTGTTTAGCATTTGTTTATAGTACATTAAATATGGAATTAAACCACACCATAATATATATTTAATCATATTAGATCTCCAATGTACAGCGTGTGGTTTTGGATTCCTCATGAAGCATTGCCGACAAATGAATTATACGATAGAGAGTGATGGCGAATCAAATTAAGATGCACAAACTCATGGAGGTATCGTTCAACAATTTGATCTGTCACTATGCTCTCATCAACTAAAGTTTTGACAGTTATGCAGTCATATACTAGTTTTCATACAAATACTTATGACTTAAATCATTGTATTTAATTACTTAATTGCATTCCCTATGACTTAATAATCATTACATTCTTCATTTTCGCAAGAAAAATTAAGTTTAAAATTTGATAAACACAATGTATCAACATCAAAATAAACTTCAAACTGAATTGTTTAATTGACTCAATGTATCGGAAAATATACACATATCTATGTAGATAGATCGTTAGACTTTAAAGTGACTGTACCAAAGTATCAAAATTAAAAAATAATAATAATTTGTTTATCAAAGAATAATAGTTGAATTACGGTCAACCAATATAAACAATTTAAATAGTTATCATAAGAATTCAATTATAGTTTAGATATTTATCAATACAGCTATGTATTTAATATACAGTATTAAGTGAAAAAAAAATACAACGAAATATTAATCTGTACCGTAGATCAGTAAAACATTGTTTTAAAATAGTATAGAAGATTAATGAAAAGTTAAAATATACAATAGAACTACCGAAAAGACGTACACATACAGACAAATATAATTAAGTAGATGACAAGGTAATATATAACGTCGCTAAAAACTCTCCTATATACACTACACCACTAATGATTACCAGTGAACTGATGTAAAAAGTACTTATCGACTTAAAGTAAGTAAGAATACTCGATATATTCACAGAGAGAAAAGTAGTAGAAGTACAAGTGAAAAACATTATTCCAGATTAATAATACTTTAAGTTTGTATCAACTTATTTCGATTATTTATTTTTACTCTGAATAAGTGGCTTACATTGTCACGAAACATCAGAAATATATATAATTATTTAACTGAACAACGTCAACATAACTGTTGACAAACAAGCAATCCTATTTAAGGGATTTATAACGGAAGTTCATATATTTTATTTATGTTCAGATGATAATCATCTTTAGTAAAACAGAATGAACTCACGCTAACGTAATTATTAGTTTATATAATGAAACATTATAATCAAGACTTTCGTTTATATAAGGTATGAAGAACTGAAAGATTGTAGACTAATAAAAATTGATTATTAAATAGATTGGGTTTAATGGAAAGTTTTTATATATTCCAAAGGTGAATTTCATCGTAAACTGATGTCAGCTGGATGATGAGTAAAACTAGAGAGCACTGAGCCATCTTTCCGTTCTAGTTTGAAACTACACAACAGTGTACACACCTATGGTCAATTGAAGATCTTCAAAACCTCCCAACGGTCACAATATATTTAGTATAATGAATCAGGGTTCAGTGGCATCAAATTTCAGTTTCAATCAATTTTCAACACATCGCGATTCTCATTCACTGTCGACTTAATTTCTCTTTCAAACCTTGGCTAACGCCACAGAATACAGAGATATAGTATCACTTGTCGGGAAAAAGAAGTGATGCTGTAAACATAAAAAAGTAAGTCATTATGAAAAGCCGGTCAAATCTATCGATTTATTTATTCCAAGACGAAAAGAACTAGTTATCATTAGTAGATAATACAGTGAAAATTCAAGTGAAATAGTTCCAACAATGTATACTAGACTGAGAGCAGAAAATAATGAAAAACAATAAATTCACCGTGTACTGGGATACATGTCTTCCTTGCTTTATTGGAATTTTTGGATTGAGATCATTGCATGAAATGACAACAGAGAGTTTACTTTGGATTAATTTATTCGAAACCATAATACTGAAATACTTTGGATTAGATATATACTTCATAGTATCAAATGAATTGTCAATATAGTACATGAAAGCAACATGTGATCTAAATTATTATTTTAGTTAAACAATGATAATCTATGTACTAAATGAAATAAGATTTTTAAAAGTATTTTTAAAAGTGTTCTCAAATCAACGGTAACATAAAATAAGTCGTGCAATACCGAAATTCAATGGCAGTTGAAAGTCAGGACTACTTCACATTTATTTCCAAATATTCAGTCAGATATAGAAAATGATCAAAACCAAGTTGTTTGATTTGATGACATATTCGAATAAAATAGTGGGATGAAAGTGTCCGTGTAACAAAACAATGTAGATAAAATATACAGAGTAAACTAAGTACAGTCAGTTATTATTTTAGTGTTACTAAAAGGATGGAAAATATTTTCCGAAAACCAAACGATGTTTTCTACAGTTCTACTAGTAATAACCCTAGAGAATGGATGTATTTAAAGTTATTAAGTTCAATTGTAAATCATCTGTTGTCATTTTGGACAACATCAATCTACATTAAGAACAGAAATTGTTATCATTTAGATCATTCAACTAAGAAAATACAACATTATTGAAAGTAACTTTACTTTTTTTATTCAAATTATTCTCTTAGAAAATAACCTTGAACTCTAAGAATAAATAGTTGAACTTAACAAATAAAGAAATTATTGAGTACAATATTATTGAAATGAAATCCTTCAAGAGTATTGAGTATTAATCATTAAATATTGTATAGAATATGAGAAAATGATATTAAGAAATTAGAATTAGTTAACTCAATTCTAATCTAATTAAAGGAGGTTAAATAACACAAACTGTTTATAAATTTTGATGCATATACACTTAGTAATTTGATGAATAGTGAAACTATATGGTGGATAAAGAAAATTTGACTGATATTTGTTAACCCTTGAAAATTTTCCATATAAGCAAAAAACATGTAATTTGATTATGAATACACTTTTATTATGAAGTTAATTAAATGCTCATTATGAATATACAACTGATATCTAACAGGAACACTTAGTTTGATATCAGTAACCTAAGGAAATTGATTTTTTAATAAACTTATATTGATTATTATTTAGGGTAATATTCTGTTTATTTTTATCAAGTGAACACCTTAAAAGTCTTTATTTAACTACACTAAATAAAGAAATCAATTTCGATTAAATCAAAATCTGGTGGAAATTCATGAAACTATTAGCTAATAAGTAGATCGTTAAAAGAAATGTAAACAAATAGTAGAAATATTGATAATAATGGGGATTATTCACCACAGATTGCTATCAGTACAATCCAAGGTAATTTGTCAAGGTAAGATATTGGATTTATTCCAAAATTTTCATCAGTGCTCCTTTTTTAAATCATTTTATTTGAGCATATGTTCTTTAGTTGTCAAGAAAAATGAGTTTATATAGCGACAATTTTCCTTGTGTAAAATAAGCTTCAAACGTTGATCAGTCCTTAGTACATACACGATTGCACGATTTTGGTTTTTTTTTGTTTTTTAGTACCATCAAATGATATGATTTTTAAGAGTAGGTTACTGTACCTGGTACCAAATAATTCACTATTCCTCAAAATTACTGGTATAAAGATCTATTTTTAAACATGGCTTTCAATTAACTATTATTGAGTGTTTAAATTTTCCTTTATTGCTACTGACTTAGTCGGTTTTGATGTACGATAATGTTACACAAAAATATCCCAACGATGAAGCATGTGTATATTTTAACTTAATACACAGCTGTACTTTTCTTAATACAATTCAAAAATATTCCACAAACTTTGGTAGCTATCAACAGTTAAAATCTTCAACATGACACAGTGGTCCTAAAAGTTAACATATACTGACTAATCGTTGTCGTTACTGTTGAGTAATGAACTATAAATACTGGTCATTTAAGGACCTAAAGATAATACATGGCATCTGAATATGCTAAGATTATTTTGTTGACTTAAAATCATCGATTTTCCCACATACCTTCTAAAAAAAATTTCTTGTTCGAAAATAATTCAAGCATGTCTAGCGAAACATTGAAAACTCCGTAGTTTAGTATAAAAGAAGAATTAAGATCTAACATAATGTAGCGCTTGGAAACAAATAGGAGAATCCATAATATAGTTGGTTGAAGAAACTTAGTCGACGGTTTATACTCCCCTAGGGGTAACAGGCGTAGGTAAGTTAGTAATCTGATCATGGCCTTTAAAACACCAAACAGACAACTTCTGAAGATTCGATACAAACCCAACACTTCTCTTAATATGCCGAGTATTCAAGTATAACCCATATAGAGATTTAAATAACCACTTTTCGGCTTCTAAGTAGGCGAAACCCGGTTCAATCAAGCAAACAGGTGGGAATGTTTAAATTAATCAACCTGAAATATTAGCCTAATCCATATCTGCCTGTATTTGTTATGATCACCAAAGAAAGTGTTTGTGTCGACTTCATAATCTATGAAATATACGTGTACAATTAAAGTATTTGGCCCCTCAAGTAAGCTACAAGTGGATGGAATGGGATTTTCCGAAGCTTATTAAATAATGAAGTACATAGATTTTAGATTTACAATACTAACAGAAGTAAAAAAAAATGTGAACCAGTCAAGAGTTGGAGAATCAAAAAAGCACTAATATTCGAACTTGAATTGAAATATATTTAAAAATTAAAAATAAATTAACAGCTTACGAATAACTGTGTTGAAGTTAACACTTTTCAGTGTATAAAGTTTAGCAGTGAACTGGATGACATCTACAAACTTGTCATCCTAATACCGATAATGCTCTTATGCTCATTATCGATTCACTTCAAGAATTCCTTCTGAGGTTATAGTGAAAAGGAGATGGTCATTGTTGTGCAGGTGCATTTAATCTATGCCGTATTCTAAAACTTAATTTCCAATACTACTTCGCACAAACTTTTAAACTCTGTCATATCGAACAACACTACCAACGTTTACCCTTTCTCATATCACTGCTACCACATCATTTTAATTAGTCTGCTATTCATTCTGTTAATTTCATCTCATCGTGTTAAAATAATATGACAACTTAAACTAATGCACATTTTTGATAAGCTGTACGTCATTTATGACTGACTGATCTGTAGAGGTTGTCTTATATCACGAATAAACTGAAGTAGAATATTTGAACTATTAGATAACAACGCAGTGATATAAAGGTTATATTATAGTCAAGAAGTCAGAAAATTTTCAGTTTAGGAGCGTACATGAGCACTGGCTAAAACGTTCCGTGATAGGATAAAACGATATCCCAGTGTTTGCTGATTTATACTGATTAACCGGACAAATTCAGTCCTTGATGTGAACCGTTTTTAAATTGCATTGTTTATTTGAACCTTTCCATTGATGTACAGGACTGTAATTGAACAATACAATGGTTTTCTACTAGTTATCAAGTATAATAACCGTACGGTTCAAAATGTTTCATAGCGATATATAATGTCATCACACCAAGTGAGAAATGAAATGGAAAGTGAACTAGCCATGTAAACCAACTGATTGATCATCTAGTTATCGACTTCAGTGATGACAACATTGTGATTAATAAAACAAGCTTGTAATTATTTCATTATCAAGCGCACTAAAACATCTTATTCATTTAAATATCCTTAACTCTACAAAGTTAATAATTGATGAGTAGATGTTCAATAAAATTCTTCTTTCATTCCAAACCATTTAATTATTCGATATGAATTAGTGTTATTCAGTAATCAATTAAATGTTGCAGCATGCGGTTATGAGTCCCACTTTCAGTCACAAGATTAATCATACTACTACACTACCTAAACAACTCAATATTTATCAGTCAACAGTTTTAACGATTTCATTATATATGAACCCTCTATTATATAACATCCAACTCATCATTGGCATCCATATATATATATATATATATATATATATATATATATATATATATATATATATATATATATATAGTGGTTTTGTTCATAAACTTGCTAGGAAAATGTAAGTGAGCGATAAGTAATACAGACGCTATTGAAATCCTAACTGTTCAGTTATCGATTACAATCGTACTTGTGTTATAAACAATGGTCAGCACTTTTTCAGACACCTTAAGCATGATATATGTGCATCCATTCATTGTCTAATACATAAATGTCGATACCAATGATGAGTTGAATGTATATATATATATATATATATATATATATATATATATATATATATATATATATATATATATATATATATATATATATATATATATATATATATACGTAGTAAAAAGCTTCCATCACAAACTGTACACAATATGATTCACAACAAGTTCTTGATATTTTGACAACTGAAATGTAATATCTATGTACACATTGTTTTCTAAAACAATTCAAAGAAATCGGAAGTATATTAATTGAAAAATAAAAATTTTAATTATATAAGAGTTAGAACAATAATTTATTCATGTTTTCTTGTTTACATTTTATTTGATTCAGTATTTCAATATCTGGTATAAAATTCTATCGGCTAGAGTAACTTCAAGTTGAATTTAGATAATAATACAATGTTCGATTATTGTAAATATTGTACATTCAAGTAGTTAGCGATTACTTATCTAATAGAGCACATCCTATTTATATATTGATAACTAATACAATTATTTTAATTTAACTTTAATTTAACTAAATGATAATATCACTAAAAATTTACTACATACAAAGACAAAGACTACTCTGATACTTATTTTAAATAATTTTATCCGTTTTTTTTTAATTGAAATTAGTAGTCGTCAAACAGATGATTCTAAAATATGTGAGAGTTTAATAAACAAAAAACTGTTGTAAGTAACCAAGTTAACTGATGTTCAGACAATCACTTTTCGTACTGTCATAATCGTGTAACTGCTGTATATTTAAGAAGAAAATATTAACATGTTGCTTATATGTAAAACACTCAACTAAAATATTATATTATTTGTGTACATAACATACTTTTTTTAAATTGATTTGCTAATATACGGAGGGATAATAACTACTAAACCAAAAACGCTTGCATATCATGTGAACTTACAGAAAAGTTGCAAACAATTTATCTCGGCATCAGGGTAAAACATACGATGTGATGAGACATATGTTTAAATATTTAGTAAAAACATGTGAAACTGCGATTCACTGGTTTACGTATTTGACTGCTAATTAGTAGAACACAGGTTTGAACTTCCCCTCTTATCTATTTAGGCTAAAGCAGCCAAATGTTGTCGCCTACTCAACACAACAGATGTAGTTCATGGTTTGACGTAGATGTGAATCACTCACGTATACGTTAACAAGTCTATACCAAATAATCTGGAGAGATCACAAAATAAACTAGGAATAAGTGCAAAATCATAAATAAATCCACGGCCCCAGTTACACTTAATGTTCTACAAATAAACGATATAACCCAGTGAAAAGCTGAAACCTGAAACGCGTTCACTGATCAAAAACTAACTTCCAAAAAATCATAAATGATTCGTTACTTTCTGCAAATGGATTTGGAAACAATAATAAACCCAAACGGGTTTTGTGTGATCAGTGACTGATTAGGTTAGCGGTTGTGAGTTCTATTATAGCAAAGTGCATTAGCGTATCTGATCAGGAAATCACAGAAACAGATTATATGGTGTCTTATGGTTTCCTATGGTTGCTCAACAAAATAAGTTGATGATACATTTCTTGTTTGTAATGATCTGAAGCATGCTACACGCCTACTTTAATCCTCCTGACAAACAACACCAGGAAATAGAATTCACTATCGAGTATAAGGATGAAGGAAAAATCCATTTCTTAGAACTTGAACTTTAACGAAGTTCAAGTGAGAATGATCCATATAGCTTCACCTATCGGAAAAGCACATGGAGCGAAGTTTATATTAAGCATAACAGCTTTAGTTCAAGTCATAGAGGAGAGAAAGTAGGGACCCCTTTTGACTGTATTCATAAACCATGGGCCAACGAAAGACTAGAAGAAGAGTTCGCAGTCATTAACAACAGTTGACATTAAAATTCATACTCACAGAAATCCGTCGAGAAACACGCTGCAACTGACGAACGTGCTAATCATGATACAAGAGAAAACAGAAATTGCTCTGTACATCTTCGCCTAAAAGAGGAAATTATTTGAATAACTGATGCTACAATGAGGATTACTTATACACCAGCAAGGCTAACTACCTCATGTGAAATCAACTCCTCCCTAAAACATGAGTAAACAAACAAGTTCTCTTTTCTCAGTTCCTTCAACTGTATTTGTTAGTTAACATATACGTCTTAAACCACATACGTTAGAAGAACAGAGAGAAGAACACATGTTCCCATTTCCAATCACGTTTTAGATAGTTGGAGACTAAAAGATGTAACAACTAGGTACTTAATTGACAACAGGCATATAATTGACCTTTCTCAATCCTTTAAAATGATCCCGTTTCTTTACGTTTCGCCTAAATAGTATCAATTAAAATTTTCTAACTGTATTTATCTGTTTATAAAAAGATATTAATTTATACTTGCCTCGGTAAATTCATGTTTTCGATTAAAACTACCATTAATTATTATCATTATAATTATTATTATTTATTTTGATATTCAATCTTCAGTAAGCTAAGTACTGCTTCATTTATGCTAAATTTATCTTTTCATTCATATCTGCATCTTTCACCAATCTAATTCTCAAAGCTTTTGTCAACTCGTAAAATCTTCTATAATTACTACACAATTCATTTTTCGGTTTCCAGATTCTACATACTACCTCATCTCTATTTTTTTAGTTCCATGTTAAAATAACCTCACACATATTTATTCATATATATAACAGACAATCATTGTTTTAATTCTTTCTGTCACCAGTATCTATAATTTCATATCGTATTATAGTTCAATGCTACATTTTAACACCAATACAGGTGTAGGCAGCTGAGATGAAACCATGAAATAAAACAAATTAATGTTATTCTGCCTTAATTGTTGTTATGGATTTATTAAAATTATTTTCTGTAAATTAAAAGGAAGTTTGTGAAATCAATTAATTATTTCGAGAAAAAAAGGATACTATTCACTTACTTTTCATCCGTTACATGAGTCTGATAAGGTGACAGTACATGGTTATTTGTTTGAATCGAATTATCCAAAAATGGGTTCCAATTCATTTTCAAATTACTATTATTATCAATAGTATTACTATTATTATTAATATGGTGATGTTTATCATTGACACTTGGATCCTGAACGTTAATATAAAAGTAAAAATTGATTAAAATTATAAGTTGTATGTAGTTTAGCTATCACGTCAAACTTAGTTAGGAAATTACTGAAAACCAGGAAGTAATAGATATCTGTTTTTTTGTAGTATGGGACTTCTTAGAATTCACTCACTGATGACGCTGACTAAGGATCGTAGTCTGTCGTAAATTGATTGGTACTGGAATTATAAGACAGAGGATTCTACCTCAGTGATCTAGAGGAAACGTGTGAACTGTAGGCTCTGTCGTTTAACAGCTGAAGCTTACTTTTGGTAAGATCGGTATCAGGACAAAGTAGCTGTCCAGTATTGTCTGGTTTTCCATGGTCACCTAATTAAAACTAGTCCATGATGTAAATTACCTTAAGATCACACATCTCATTCCAACAAATTACATACAAATAACCAAGTTAAACATCAGTTATTCATCAATAAATACTGATAACTACCATCTTTTATGCTAAGGATTCACTACACTTTCCGGTATAATTTTATGGTCCCCAGTTTGTAAAGAAATCAATGGATGAATTATTTGTGAACGTAAAATCAATCTTTTGTTGTAAATTTACAGCTAATAACATAACAAAAGCAAAAAATGAACTTAATGGTTACATTCTATCCTAGAATTTAGACGCTTATCATCCATAAGCAATTTAAAGAAACAAATATAACTTTTGTATGATCTTAGATTGGTTCAAATGAAAATTAACAATTGTAGTTGTTAACAACAGACAATGAAAATCCTGTTATCTAACACCTATTGGTAAACTGGATGATAATTTTTTCATTCATTTAATCAATTAAGGAAGTTTATCTGAAGTTATCCTTTTTGCGTGAAGCTAAAAAGTCTACAAATCGTAAAGAAAAGTCGTGCATTTTCTACATTTCAGTAAATTTTTAAATCATAAGGTGCCATCGAGATACTACGTCTATTCCAATTTATTATCCACCAACCACAGAACATTTTACTTAAGATGACTTAGATTATTTTTATAACATTTTGAACCAACTAAGTCTCAATAAGTACTGTCAGCAATAATGAAAGATTAGATAATTTGATTAAACCTAGATAAATGGTCCATTAATTAAGGCAATGGTAAGGATTACCACTAGTACATGCCTTGAAAGTAATGAACAGTGGGCTCACCTATAAATATACATATCAAATTACTTCTGAATGCCTTACTAAAAACTAGATTAGTGACCACTTTTAGTGATAAGGACAAACACGTACCAGTAGCAATGAAGGACAATATAATACGATCCACACACTAATTCAGTTTAAATTGAGGCACTTTATCACTAGATACACATGTTATACAATAGCTAATGAAGCGAAGTGATTAGAATGACTAAACTAAGTAATAGAATATACAATGTTATGAATCAATAACTGAAAGCTATATCCGTGAACAAACGAATGATTTTCCCATAAAATAATTAGAATTAGAAGATACCGAGTTTTAGACTAAAATACAATAGTTTGGTATTAATGTATATACTACAGAACCTGAAAGCACCATAGTTGATAAAAGAAAAGAACTCGATAAAGTAGTACTTCAGAACATTAGATTGAAGCATAACGGTTGTGTAGAGCTCTCTGATTTTCATTTATTTTAGAACAGAGACTGACGTCATGTACAAAAGAGAGAATACAAAAAATAGCCAAATTAACAGTAAATTTCACATTTTCATCATCATTCTTTTTCGTGTGGCAGCTTATGAGCAAGTTAGTAAGAAATAAATTAGCACCATTGTGGTTACGGTCAAATATAAAATGGTTAATTTTGGAAAATATGAATGAAAATTTTCAGATAATAAATAAAACTCTTGTTAAACAAGAACAACAAACATTTCAGGATGAAGTGAATTCATTTCATTTAGAAAGCTACAAATTTTCCGCATACGAACTGATTTACATAAATAAATTTATTTGCCCAATAATGTTTGTTGTTCTTGTTTTACAAAATAAGAATTTCTCACCATTTTCACTTCTTTTGACAATATAACCGTCTTCTCATTTATATCCGCATTTTCAGAACCTAATTTAATTAGTGTTTGTTTTTCAGTTGATAATTTAGTTGGAAAAATTTGTGACATAACTTTAGGTACAATGGTTAATTCACAAGAATCTTCTTCATCACCCGAATGTGGACTGTTCCGTTCATCCACTAGTACTGCCGTCGATGACAACAGTGAAGGTGGTGGCAGTGGTGGAGATAATGATGGTGATTCATTCATCGTAACTCTAAGTGTAGTATGTTCACTCAGTTCCGACTGAACACAAAAATTCGGCGGATTCTATAGACAAACATAAAAACAAATATATATATGTACATGAATTAAAAAAGTGTCAAGTAAGAACACTGAATAATTGTAATAGATGAATAAGAATAAGGTAAATCAGTAAGGTTGACATAAAATATTGGTTGAAGTAAATAAGAGCAACAGAAGAAAAGAGGGTAAGTTATTACTTATATGATAACTTACAGTAGTTATGAGACATATGTGTAGCCATATGAAGAATCCTAGAACTCTTGATTGAATTTTAGAAAAAAACAAAAATCGATGGTTATAAATTTTTAAAAAACTGAGTAGAAACGTTCATTAGTGAAACAGGTTCATACATTTTAATCCACATCTTGCCACAAATCTTCACCTTTCATCATATAATTTGGTATTATATTCACTTTGATGTTTTACCACTCTTTATGCGTTAATTATAAGAGGCGTTTCTATTATTGATGTTTTCAAGTATAGCTGAATAAATGGTATTCCTTACATCTCACGACTTCAACCACCCATAGCTAACTTATATGCAAGCAATAAAGTCCCGCTACATAAAAACGGTCATACTTTATGGTCTAAAAGTCACGAGTTTCCTGTTATATGATAACAAAACCAATAAAACTTACTATAAAATGTTTGTATGAAAATGACTCATTTATGAAGCACTCATTTATAAATTTAAATTATTAAACCACAAACTATGATAAATCACCAAATACAACAGGCAGATAAGAAAACTATATGGCATATAAATAGTCTGCTGTTAGTAGAAAGTCTTATGTTGACTAACAAACCAAAGCTAACCTAGAATCCTGAATGCCTTTCACTAAACCTAACCGTTCGCAAAGTTCGGCATTTTTATTAAACCGTAAGTTTCATTTGTGTGTTGAATAGTCAGTGTCCATTTCGTAGCTTTGTTACATCCCTGAAAGTTAAATATCCAATCAAAACTACTTCTTAAATTCTTTTACTTATCACTCTATCCAAAAACATAAGTTGGAAGATTCACCAAGGCTCGGTACTAGTCCATCAAGTTATTGACCTTAAGTCTGGGGCGTGTAGGGAAATTTAGACATTCTTATTTTTGTGGCGATTGTAATCTATATAAGGAGACCCGAAGTGAAATCATCGAAAAAAATTCCGGTGGAGAATATGTATTGGTCTTTTTTTCCCTCTGAATCTTGGTTTCCAACATCAAACAATATCTTGAGTTCTTCGATTCCATCCAATCTTTTCGAAATTTACTACCCATTTTCGGTTTTTTGCCTCATCTGAAACTAATTTCATTTTTTTTATCTTTTGCCTAGTTTATTTCCTCTCTAGCCATCCAGAAATGAAGTGTGTACACTTTAACCAATACATATTTGTGCTAGACCGTACGTTATCTATGAGTGAACGATAAACTCTCATCAACTGAAATTTATAAGGCATAAAAAGGCTTATATACGTGGTAGACTAACATTAATGTACGTCAGGTGTAACAGTTTACCGTCTAGAACGACAAATAAGGTAAGTTATAGAGTGTACAAAAGCCAAATTCTTCATAGAATTTATAAAAAACGTCGGGCCCCATGTGCCGAATATTTTAGTCAGTTCAGACTGGTAGGACAATTTTATTGAATTAGTTGAACTGAATGCCATATAAGGTTTTTAAAGTGAAATTCCCAACACTACATAGCAAGCATGGCATATAATAATCAGTTCACTTAAATTAGAAAACTATCAGAATAAGCCACCAAAAACAAATTCCCAAAAAGACTACACGTACTTGGTTACCCGTGTGTCTGAAGCATTTATCGTACATAGTTGAACCAATTAATGAAGCTATCTAGCCTGGAACTTTACAATGTAGAAAGTGGGTGTTGATGAAAAGAAGAACCATTAAAGGTTGAAAAATGGTATTAACCTCTTGTTGAGGTGCAAACAGAGAATAACTTATCTCTCAATATCTATATATTTCGGACCGTACCTTCTACCAAACCTTTTCCTCGACATTCTTGAATTACTTTTACTATGGCGTACTGAAGTAAAGGCTGATAGGGTATACTGTTGTATTCGGTTTCACATTTTATCGATGTTAGTCCCATTATAAAACTGGATGAATAATGTCACTAACTCCAAAAGAGACCAACGTTTATACTATATTGGTAAGAATGAAATCTTTTTTTACGTAACAATATATTACATTAATCAGTTCAACAGAAATATGTCATGGTTGAACCCGTTACTAGCAAAATGATAGACTGACACCTCCATTTCGTACTTGCGAAAAAGATTATGAAGATTTAGTTCGTTGAAAATTAGAAACAAAGTAAATTAAAGGAAACCTCAGTAATAACGCTCAAAAATATTGTAAAAACACCCACCAATATTGAACAAGCTAGTGAAGTCCGAAACTAAAACCTTTTATGTTATCGGTCACTTAAGATGTTGGTTAGTACTACCATTACTATCGATAACAAAGGGGTTAGCATTTTGACAAATTAAAATGCAAAGTAGTACAAACAAACGCCTAACTAAGGAAATACGTTTTGACAACTAAATGTCATTAACAAACCTGGGATATTGAAGGTATGTGAACAAATGAACGGAAATATTGCATGTGGGATACATTTTCAAAAAATTTCTTGACAGAAATATGGAGATCTCTGAAGCGTTCTCTGTGACCGGACATTGTTCCATTACCTAATAACTCATGTAACTTAAAGATGACTTGTACGCTTAGTTCATAGAGTGCTGCAGCATCTTGAATACATTGAATGAGTGGAATAAGTTTACATTGACCAGAGGGAGTGAATGAAGCAGCTTGAATACCTTCCAAAGAAAGGAGAACAACATCTTTGAAGCGCAATGTTTCTTCTAGCATATCCATAAGATCGACACTAAATTGAAATCTTAAGAAAAAGAACACAGTAACTTTATTCATGAAACCCTGAATCCTGATAACAAAAACGAAACAAACCGTAAGATGTTTATCTACGTACTTATATATTAATAAAAGTGGAACTTTAAGCGGTCATCATTTTAGGTAGAACCAAACTGATAAAGCAACAATCGGATCGTCTGATGTGGTGTATGTCCTTACTACTGAGTACTGGCCAGAAAGTTTTATTAGACAACTAATAGCTTTGAGGTATATCACCGGATCAATATCGGGTTCAGTCAAATCAGTTAAATTATTTTTTTAATTTTCAACTACCACTAGACCCCCAAAATACTAAGTTGTTTGAAAATCAAGTCAAAGGTTACATAAGTGAGCTTGAATGGCAGAACAAACTACAAGTTTGGTATTAAATACTTTTATCTTATAGTTTGTAGCTGTTACATAAAATATGAATGCTAAGCCACCCCACATCTAGTAGGAATGGTTACATAGGGGGAAATAGTGAACGAAGCTTCACAGAAACTGCGACATGATGTCAATCAACGGGAAAATCCCTTTAGGTTAGCACAGAGAATCGTAATCTTTTTGACTGAGGCCCTAGAGATTTTGAGAATCAAGATTTGTATGTTAAAACTGACAGGCTAAAAACCTACACTAAAAACATGGAAAAAGTTATTTTGGACTCTTTCCAGTCTTAAATATAGACACAAGTATGTTGGAAGTTTCTAAGATTTTCTGCTGAACGTGGGAACGGTTTAGAAGCTAGGCTTAAAGACAAATTGAATAACAGTTTTTGAGTTATCAATATATAATCCTTTTTCTTTTCAGTCCTTTTTTCATAGGAAAGGAGACTAAATACTCAGATATATCCAGAGCATTATTCGTTACACACTTTTAAAGCCTAAAACTATTACTTGACCTTTAACACTACGTTGAGATGTTATATGGTCGGATACATATTCTTACCTGAATAAAATTCTGTAGTTACTGGCTTAAGCTATCAAAATGAATCAGTCAGTCAGTTACACAAAGGGTAAAACCTGGCACACGTGCATCCACCCAAGTTTCCATTTCACATTACCACAGCAAGATAAATCCCAGGAAAGTAAGAGTGGTAACAGTATCAGTAGTAATGGAAAAGATTAAGTTGTTAGAATATCTGGAACATCTTCAACAATCAGGTACCACAAAAAATATTTGGAAGGCTATGGCTCGCTCTCATGAGGTTGTTGTAAAAACAAGCTTCCAGGCAAAAAAAAAATGGTTGTATAACACAAAACCTAGTATCTTGACCAAATTACATTCTTAGTTAGGTCATTGTAATGACTTATGTTTTATGATTATAATCATAAAACATTAGTTCAAGAGCTACTTAGATATGAACCATTTTCTGCCATGAGGGTAATTTATTAGTGAAAAAAAGGTTTAGTACTAAAATGACTTACAAGTGGTCTACTTGTGCAGAAAGACAACTCTTCAGCTCATTGGGAGTTAGCTCCAGACTTCCAGGTAATACTCCATACTAAAATATCTTGATCGAATAAATTTACATGGTTACTTTTCTGTGTAGGCTGATTTTCCGGGTTATCAGTTGACAAAAGTCTACGATCGGATATCCACACTTTGTCGCGTGATTACTCTAAACTATACTAGACTTATTAGCTAAAATTTACCCAGGCAGACTGCAACTGGGAAACTCTGGTTGCGTGACGTAGCCCATCACTTACGCACTAAAATATGGTATAAATACATTAATCGGTTGTATTGTTATACAATACCTCACGGTGCCCATCTCGGAACAATTTATGGATAACATATAGAAACTTCCAGCAGACTATTGGATTGGTGTATATGGCGAGTTTAAGTGCAGTCTCATAAAAAAACAACGAAGACTTTCCACTAAATGTGGCTAAAATAATTCCACGAATATGTTTTTGCTTTGGTGGGACTTCCTGATCTGTGATTCCTTTCAAAATATGCACAATCTAATGATTTTAAAAATGAGTATGATTGTATACTTGTTGTTTATTTGAGTTATCTTTCCCGACGGCGATGTTTTTGAAAGAATCTAGGTTAGGTAGCGGCATTCTCCACAGTTTGCATACAAAAACGACCTTCAAGTTTGAAACACGCTCTTTCGGGCCCATTAGCAACGCCAAACTAATAGGTTCAAATGGTTGTGCACGAAACATTAGTTTCTGTCTGGCTTAGATTGTTTTCAGCAAAACGTTATCCTTCATCCACACCTACTTTAGCAGAATAATCGAATTCCACCTATCTGGAAAAATTACTGTAATACTCTTAATACTATATTTATAATTATGTGACCAAATATATGATCGAGAAGATGTTTACCCAGTACATCATAAGAAGAGAAAATGGAAAGTAATCACAAATCCAAAAAATCGCATGTATATAAATATTTGGAGTAAATCCAGTTTAATATGTCTTTATGTTATCACATCGATACGTAAAGTTTGTTGAGTTTCAGCACGTTTATCTCTCTGATATCTCTGTCGTGATTTCGCATAAGCTGGTTAATTTCTCTTAACTTCCCCTCCTTTGTCGTTCTAGTACAGTTACAGGTATTTCGTAACGTCCAACGTATGGCATCCTAGCCACACTATTGCAGTAATTCTGATGAGATTGGTAAGTGCCTGTAGATTTGTGTATTTTAAAATTCAAATTAACGAGTGGAGTTTCGGATAACAGCAGCTATTATGTTACCAGTAAGCAGGCTAGTTGGTCTTAATGTGAAGAATAGTAAAGTGATTATTCGAATGCAAAGAGATGATTGCCTCAAGAAGTAAATGACTTAATTAATTAGTATTTCAAACAGTATGAAAAGATCAAACTGAAAGAACAAGCAGAAACGCGCAGATGGCTGTTCGCTTTTGTGCAGATTTTTCAACAGGATAAAACGATGTTTTACAAAATAATTCATATCCACTACTTATGCCATAGGATTTAATTGTTAAATTATGCGGTGGGTGTTGTTTTACTAAACTTCATTTGTTTGAAGCCTACTTACAAGTGGAAGTTGACAAATATTCAAAGGAGTTATAAACCATTAATACCCATCGTGAACTCTATCGATTTAACCGATTACCGTTTGGTGATAAGCGAGCTCCAGCGATTTTCCAGCAGATAATGGATAGTATGGTGTCCATCGTCGAAAGTGAACGCGTGAAGTCAAACCCAGTAATATGTATGAATATGAACAATATGAATGCGAATAATCAAGAAAGCTCAGCAGAAGCTATGTTTTGAAGGAAAATCAGAATATCATCAGAACGGATGAAATCAAAACCTAGAATCAGTCTATTTAAGAATAAACGAATGAAACAACGATTCAAAAAGTGGTATGGTACATTGACCGGAAGTTCAGTATGGGGTAAACGGCAATACTATGAGATTTACATGGAGTAAAGCTAACAAGAAAGATTGAAACTATAGTCTGCAGAGGATGAAAAGTCATTTGTTAAGTAAAAGTCAGAGGGAAAATATGGGTAGGAAATGAAAACCAACTACATCTCCAAAGCAGTCCCAGCGCATCCGACGGATAACAAATCGGTTAAAAATAAATACACATGATCTTCATTACGTCTAACGCCTCAAAAAAGGACGGTATTATGTCCGAAGAAGAATAAATGATGGGAAACTTACGGAATTTCTTTATATACTGTTTTTACAAATACATTAATAATATAAAGCTAGTCATGGATATGTGTGAACATTCAAGTTTAACATTTATTTGGCTGGTGACTTAGCCTGAAAGCATCTCTCACCGACTTGGAACTTAACGGTGCATCCGTTTCTCAATGCCAAGTACGACCTACAATCAGAGTCACCCCGGAAGACTCTCCACTTGTGCCAGGCTCTCTTCCTGGTCTTTAGCAAGCATCCCGTACCTCGTTTGACCCAGTATCTGCGCTTTCTATGCGTGTTTTACCTCGGATCTATTGGATAGAATAGCATTCTGAATAATGTCCCTCACTATCTTTAAGTGGCCAGATAGTGTTAGCCTCCATTACTCTTGTGGTCATGTAGGCGTTAATGATCCTCCCTCATGGTCGTGTAGTCTGCCTTGGTATAGCTGGGATAAGAGTTAACCTCTTTACCTCGTCCAGAAGCATCTCGTTTGTGACAACGGTAGACATATCTGTACCGTGGTTACTACTTCTTATTGATGTGTGGAAATGGTAGATAGATAGAAGCTGGACATCTATCAGCAAACAACCTGATCTTGAGGACTTTTCGTCCATACCCCAACTCAAGGAACCACCAGCATACTCGGACAATCATTAAATTTAATGTATGTGGCAGGCCGCTAGCAGAACCACCATGCGAATGTCGTCTCCTGCTTGCTGCGATTTCAGCAGTGACGTCAAGTGCTAGTAGTGTTTTGGTTAACCGTCGGGTGTGGATGTTTTAGTATCGATTGTGGTATCGTTCCGGGTGTTATAACGTGTGAATTGCCGGTATGTTTCTTTAATTAAGTACTTTGTAGAGTTCAAACGGAAGAGCTAGGAGCACGATTCTGTCACTAGTCAATTTGATTCTGTGTGGATGTACGTCTTTGATATGACTGTTAATGTATATTGCCACTCCACCAACTATTTTGCGTACTCTATCGCTTCGGAGAAGTGTCATGCGATAGCCTCTTCTCAGTGGGGACTATGATCTTCGGGTCTAACTGAAAGCACGTATCTACCCCTGGTCCTCTTACGCTGCCGTATAGGCACATGATGGTTTGTCTCATAACTTCGTTCTCTCCTACATCAAAACCTGCCTCCTGCTATTTGAAGAGATCATTGTCTCAACAGGGCTGGCCAGTTCCGTAGGGACTGGTCGCTGTAGGTTTCGTGTCTGTATACTGTGCTCCTTTGGTGGGACCGTGGCCTTCGTGCGATGCACTGTGAGATGTTGATTACAGTGCGCCGATATCGAAGTGTGTTTTACTGGGCATTTCTGCCTTCGCTCTACCGATATGGATTGGTTCTCACATTATATGATGTTACTGCGGAGGGGATTCTTCGTGCTTTACAATGTCTGAATTACTTCAATTAGTCTTCCTTGGTTTTTGTAGTTCACAGGAATCAAGTACGAAGACTCAGTGGCCGTGTGGTGTAACAAACGAGGTAGTATGGACACTCCAATTATAACAGTGGTGTGAAGACACATGCTACGTGATGGCCAATGCTGCCGTTGCATATCGTATTCTCGAACTTTATCCTAAATACCAACCAGTTGTTTAGGTGCTCTGTAGACCGCTTCACAGTTTGATACTTGTATGATTGACGATCTAGCGAGATTCCTAACAACCCACAGTTCCACGTGTCTAACTTGCATTTGAGAGGATCATGTAACGGATAGTCTCTAAAATGTCTGTGAGTTTTCATCTGAATCATATGCTAAGCCTAAAATTACACTCAATGGAGTGAGTCTGTCTTATGCTACGCTTTGTCATTTATAGGGATGGAATACTTTGGCCATGGTAGTACGGTTTTTCAGCATTGTTCAGTATTCTACCCACCTTTTTCTTCACTCTCTGCTCTCTTTTCTGATAATCTACTCTCCGTAACTGCAGTTTCGTCAATCGTCTTTATCTCTAACCTTCATATTTTTCAGAGCTATAATATTATCATTTTCCTGCCCAAAACCCACCCACCTCTAATTTCTATTAACGGATACTGGGGTATTAACAACAATCAGTAATTTCATTTGTCTGTGAGCTGATGTTTTGGCTCTCTTATCCGCGCGTTGATTCTTTTTTGTCAGTTTGGATATACCATTGAGGATTAATACGGTTCCTTTCGTTGGAGTCCTATGCTTCCCTTTTTTAGTTCGATTGATGCATATTTTATACGCTCTGAGCAAACATACAAGGAACACGGATAAACGTGACCTAATATGAATCCGTAGTAGTAATAATTATGATTATTTATTCTCAAATAACAGTTTGGTACATGAGGCATGCCACTTTACAGGCGAGATGAAATTGTTGCGAAAAATACAATTTTCACTGTAGTAAGTCACTCAGCTGGGTTGACATTTTATAAGATGGGAATGTAAATGGCTTTAGTAAGAATAGTATTTTCATCATCGCAGTTGGCGCGCTTTATGAAGGTTGCGTTGCGACATGAGTCTGATGGTTCAGAATAGATCCATGCGGAGTTGAGGGTTTCTAGAAACCTTAACCTTATGTCCTTCTGAAATATCTGAGGTTTTAATGATTGTGCAGGACGAATTCACCCATTCCATATCTGTTTTCGGTGGCATATCTCAAAGGGGCTGAAAACAGTGCAAGAAAAAGAAAGGATGAGAAGCAGAGCAGACACTGTTTATGAAGGAATTGTTTAAATATAACTAATCAGTCTAATTCTCTTTTACTAAGGTAATTATTAAGCAGGAGAATTCTAATAAGTTAAAGAAAATACGTGCAAACAAGGCATGAATGGATAAAATGGTTCAAATGGTTGTGGACGGAATAGAAGAAGCTTTCGCTTAACAGGCTTCCGTGTCTAGTAGCAGGGGATCACCAAATCCTTCAGACAGGAACCTAGGTATGTTAACAATAAAAGAGGAAAAGAAATTGGTAAATCATAGTATGATACTGTCCTTGGTCCTTAAGAATAGGTAAAGTTGCCTCTTGAAGGACTCCTGAGAAGTCGCTTTGACTAGCTCGGCCAGCAGCGAATTCCAGCTTTTGACAACTCTTAAGGAATAGAAGTTGTGTCTACATCCCGTCTTGCTATGTTGAGTTTCCAGTTTCTGGGTGTTACCCCTTAGGTTAGTATTCGAACTAAGCTTGAGTAGGTGTTTAAGAGGATGTCCAGAAGTGTTAAGAATACTATAAGCCATTAATAAATCACCTCTAAGACGCCTATACTCTAATGGGTAAAGGTCTAGTGAATGGAGGCGTTCTTCGTAAGGCTTAGATTTGAGTCCGCGAACTGATTTCGTGGCTCGCCGTTGGATACGCTCCAAAGTGACCTTGTCCTTTTGGAGTGAGGGGGGGTACTATATTTCCGTACTCTAAATGGGGACGGATAAAACTATTGAAGATTGTATGGAAAGTTCTTCCGTCAAACTGGCCAAAAATGCGCTTCAATGTTACCAGTGCAAGGTTAGCTCGGAAGGCATTTTTGTCACAATTAA